GAGGACAGGCACTGCAGCGCAATGACACTGACATGCCGCACGACGACGACGACAATTTCGACATGGTCGGAACGGTGCACAGGAAGGTAATGTAGTGTAGGGAGGTGGATTGTAACCTGAATGCAACAGCAACCCAATGGAAGGCAAAAGCCAGAAGAAGTGATGAATGATGCAACTATTCTGTTAGGTAAGGCGAGGTAAGGTAAGGTACCCTCACCCAAAATGCCCATGTACCAGTGTATCCTTCGTGCCTACCTTCCCTTTCCTTAGCTAATGGTGCTCTCTTTTCTATTCTAGTCAACCAAGGAACCGCGGAAGGTGAGGTTCCCTCTGCACACCTTCCCTGTACGTCGTTGTTACTATCCTGTCTCAGAGGCAGGTTGGCGTAGTACCATATGTTGGAGCTGGGAACCTGCCCTACCTTACCTTACTACCTTGGCCCCTTAGTAACCTTACAGGAAGCTGCTGACTGAGATGGATGGGAAAGAGTGGTGAGTGCGTACTTGTCTTTCTAAATTTGTCGGATGCCATCTGTAGGTGTGTGTGCTGCAGACCAAGGTACCTTTTTTGCCTGGGTATCTCTATGCCGCCTGAGGTGGTCTCTATGTACGACGGGAGTCTGCACTTTGTAGTTCGTCTCCCATTGGGTTACGTTAGGTTCAACCTGAGGTCCGAGGCAAGGTACGTATCGGAGCGATCCATTCTCCTTGGTCCATCAGGTTCCCCAGTGCCAATCCCACCCTCGCTCCTGCCTTCCCGTGTGTGGGAGGTAGGCGCAGGGCCAGCAGGGCCAGCAGGGCTCAATTCTACACCCTCATTTTTCCTTCCATACCCCTTGCTCTGTTGGATGCTGGGGTGTGTGCATAGTAGCCATCTGCTTAGCGCACGCCCTGAGGTCTGTATGCCTGGGCAGAGAACATGATCCTGAAAGTGCTCACCCCTTTCACCCTTTCACCCCCCCGTCCCAAGTTCCTTCCCCATGCCCTCAGGGCCTTCCAGTCTTCCACTCAATCTTCTTCTTCTTCTTCTTCTTCCTCCTCCTTGCCTTACCGAGCAGCCCTTGTCTCCAGACTCTGACTCTTTTTACCATCCAAATACCTCACACTGACGCTCTATCCGAACGGTTGCAGAGAAGGCCTCTCTACGGGTAGGAGTACCGAGGAAATGAGACTCAAGATACCTCGCCGAAATAGTATCCAAACGCGTAATGCGCTTCTTGGCTGCAAAGAACAAACGAGCAGACAGAATGGAACGCCAGGATTGTATCTCGAGGGACTTACCTTAGCTTGGGCAGTGGACTTGTTGATGATACTTGGGATATTTGTTTGGAAGGAAGCACGAGAAGGTCGAGAGAGCCGTGGTCCTTGCCCTGCTCTCGGAGACCCTTGCGCCTGCCTTGTCTGCTCTCTCTCCCCTCCCACGGGCCACCATGCGGTGCTACCCCGTCGTCGTGGACCCGCGCTAATCCTGATCGGATACCCCTGATCTTTGCAGCCTCGACACTGGACCGCGGGAGGGACGCACCGGGAGCGCGCAGCAAATGGAATGATTCAACGGAACCCGCTTTCTGCCCTGTTCTGCCCTGTGTCGCCTTGGACTTGCATCTTTAGAGCACACTGCACACGCATTCCTCTTTTCAACGGAGAGACGGACGGAATCACGACGTGAGCCTGTGAGGGACCACAAGCAGGTAGCGCAATACGGTACGTTTCTTACCTTATGGTTGATATCTGTCCCCTCGGTCGTGTTTTCTTGGGTGAGATGGGCAAGACCTGATGAAGTACGGAGTACGGAGTACCTACGGTTCTCAAGGACCCCACCCAGCTTATCTAAGCACTTGTTCAAGAGCCCAAGAGACCGTTGCGAGATCCTTCACCCCGCTGCCTCAAGATGCTTGTGGCACTTGAGATATGCACTTTGGGTGTTTCTTCTACACCTGCAACTTCTATGCCTGCAATGAGGCAAGCAAGGCAAGGTCATCCATTGCCTCTTTTGCATCAGCATCAGCATCAGCATCAGTATGAGCTCAGCATCAGACCCCATCCAAGCCCGACCGACCTTACTTTTCATTGCTTACCCAGGCAGGCAACTCGGGCAACCCAAATGTGCCTTAGTCTTAGGTAGCTTTCTTTAAGTGAAGCCCAAAGGCTGCAAGATGCAAAAGCGAGATGCAAATCCACCAAAGTCCCGTTTCGCATCATTTCCCCTCTTGCTTTTCCTGACTCCTCCAGTTCCTCCTTGGCCTTGGCGCCAACCTGAATGTTCGTGCCTGCTGTATCCGTATGGAGTACTTGCCTCGCCGACGTGTCTACCTACGGAAGGGAAGTTACGCCAAAGGTATCCAAGGTACCTATCTTAGCTACCTTAAGGTATGGATCTGTGCTCATCGCTTCGTGCGGTACCTCTTTCATTGTCGATGCGCATCGTTCCTGCCTTGCGGATAGTTCTCACGCCTACCCACTTCGTGATGCATGTGGCTTCGTCAACGGGGATTTGCGTTGATTTGGGAAGGAGAAAGGGGAGGTGGACATGTAACGATGAGGAGGGCAAGAGGCAGCAGCACTTCTGCCTGTCCTCTTCCCTTGAGATGATGCGTGTAATGTAATTCTTCGTATCAATTCGCATGGAAGGTACCTACCAAATCGTGCCTACCTACCTTACCTACCTTAGGTAGGTACCTTACCTGATGACTTAGTCCGACAGGAATATGCAGGTAGCAAACAAATGCTCCAACAGCTGAACAGCTCACCTCACGCTGCTTGGTCATCGTCCTCGGCTTCGGGATGATTTCCCAACTTCCATCTCATCAGTCGGACCACGAAACCTCAAATGCGCTGCATTCCCGCCTTGGTCTTTCTTCACACGCCATTCCATCTCGCGCACGGAGCGAGCGTCGAAGCAGTCTTCATCACACCTTACTTTACCTCAAAGTACCTACCTACCTAGGTATCTTAGGTATTCATCTACCTGAACGCAAGGTACTTTGACTGCCTTGCTTTCTCTCACCTACAACTCGTACCTTTTTTTGTCAGGTTCTGTGCTGATTCTTACTCAGGTGCCTCCGCGTCTCTGCTGAATCGAGCGAGGTTCCGTCGCGACACCTGCCAGACCGCCCGGACACAATCCCATTCTCGACTTCTTTTGTTCTACATTCCATTGTTGCGCTCCCCCGGCCCTCGTCCGGACGGACCCAGACCTGCGGATTCCCTTGGCTCATAAGGCATATTACTATTGATTACCTACGAATACCGTATTCGTACGTCAGGAGACTAGCACCGGGCAAAGGACACGACCCGGGCGCCGTCTAGACTCCACGGCTCGCCGCACACCGCACGCCGCACGCCATCACCGCCGTCTTATTACCCACACCTCTCCGAATATCACCAAGGAAGACAAATTACTGCATTTCTCACCCCGCCGTCCTTGACGCACTCCGATTCCTCCAACAACTCGATCCGACTCGGATGCTTCCTTGAGCCTTCTAGATCCATCGCCTCACCTTGCCCATTCAAGGTAGCCCACGCACGCGGCTAGTAACAGCACGGCATACACACCACACGCACACACATATACGCACATATACACCTTGAGCTATCTATGCTTATATCGCCTGGGTGGCCTTGGTCGCATCAACATCAACGCACCTCATTCCGTCACCCCCATGAGTCTCCGTCCCCAGCCCTCCTTCTCTCTGCCATTTCCCCTCGAACGCTCGATCCGAGCAACAACCCCCTTCCCTACAACCATTACCGCTACGAATACCTAGTCTACACCACCTTGCCTACCTTACCTTAGGTGCTACCCACACCCCGACGCAGCGTGAAGGAAGGGCGACAAGAAGTTGACAGACAGGGCTGCATTGCTGCTTATGTGCTTGCATGGCACTAACTCAACGGGTTACAAGAAACAGCCACACGCCCAACGTCGTACTCGTGGTTCCCTGGTGTATGACTAGCCAGTCCCCATCCGCATCCTATTCCTTTTAGGGCTGCTCGCCGAACAAGCGTCCCGCTACTCTACCCGTCAACGAGAGAGATCCACCCCCCCCCCCCTTCTCTTCCTTATCACCACTCCCCTTCCACTGAGTACATTCACTCCCTCTTCCAAAGTTCACCCATCAAATCATTCCCGTCACCCCTCCCTTCTTGTCTTCCATTCGGCCTTCCTCTTCTCCACTTCCTCTTCTTCTGCCCTGCCCTGTAAGGCCCTGGGCTAAGGATACCTCAGGACCTAGTGTATCCGTTCACAGTAGGCGTGCTAAGCTAGGGTATCAGGTATTCTCTCTCTCAGTCAGGTCTCTTCTCTGCCTGGGCTGTCCTCTGTCTCTCAGTATCCCCTGCTACTGCCCCTGCTGGGGGCAAAAAGGAACCACCCGGGGGCTTCTTCTCCAATCCACGTTACGCCGAAGTTGGAGGTTTGGATGTGCCTCCATCTGGGTCCCTGGGCCGCTACCGCTACGAATACCGCTACCTACGGATACCGCTACTGCTGCCGCTGGAGCTTCGCTTGACGCTGCCGACAGCTTCCCTGGGCTCCCCCTCCACCCCCTTCTCCTCTCCTCTCCTTGACCAGGTCTGTCTCCTCCACTCGACTCGTTCTCCCGCCTTTGTTTTTAATAAGTACTAGTCGCCTCTTTCGCCTTGCCATACCTGGGGGTATCGATTTTATTTTATTTTTATTTATACAGCAGCTGGCGTCGTCACGCAATCGCCTCTTATTTCAGCTGTCGCCTCCCCCCCACGACCTGACCTGACTTACGGATGTAAACTCTACCCACCCCAGCTCCGGCCACTCTGCTTCCTCCGACAACATTTGCTCCTCGCATTCCTCGACGCCGTCCGGACCTGATCTGTTTCTGCTTGTCCCGCGATTAGACCGCCGGACTCAACAATTGTACATCCAGTCCAACCACATCGACGTCTGCTACTTTTCCCTCTTCCACGTTACGACTCGCGCCGCTTTGCTCGATTCCGTCTAGTCTTGTCTTTCCTTTTTCAGTCTCCTCTCGGCCCCGACCGCTGCGTGACGCAAGAGAGAGAGACCGACAGAGACAGCCATTCTCGGCTTGCATTGGCCCCCGTTCTCAACCAACGGCGAACCCGACTGCCATCGCCACCCACGGCCTCCAAGACGACCGCCTTGGCCTCGGACGCTTCTCGTATCCCACCGCGATCAGAACCCTAGATATTTCCCGGCCCATCACTCATGACGCCCGTGCTTCCGTCACTATAAACCTTAGTGGCGCCGCTTCAGCTGGAATTGTCAATCCTCAGCCAGCAACTGCACAGATACAAGCCGACATCATGGAGGCACCTTCGAGATACAGGGAGCCTGCGGGTCTTCCCAGCATATTTATAGACTCAAACCCAAGAGACTCAAACCGCTTCGACTCTAGCAGTTACTCCTCCTCTGTCGCCATCCCAGGTTCCGGAGACAGAATCAACGCACCGCCGCCCTTACCACCACCACGACTTCCCTTTGACGATCCTCACATGCATCACCAGGAGCCCAGACAACACTACCGCGATCCCTCATCATACAGCCCTAGAGAACATAGTTACCACGACAGCTTGGGAAGTTTGGATGACAGGCCACACTACATGAGGTCCGGTTACAGGCACGATGAGGGTTATGCCAGCATGGGTTCGTCTTCAGCTTCGGCTTCCACAAGGTAGGAAATCCCCAACCTTTCAATCGGGCCTAGTTTGGTTCTAGAAGAAAAGAACTTGAGAGTGTCGAGATTTTGGGTGCCCATCTAACATTTTCACCTTGATAGATCTGAATGTTCCTTGCCGAGCATCTCGGCCGGGTTTGGTCTGCACCACAACCAGTTCCAGTTCCAGTCTGGCGCCGACGCTTTCACCGACATGAAGAAGAAGCTCGCTCCCCTAAAGACGTTCGATAACAAGCCGCCTGGCTCACTCCTCAGTGCGTCAAGCACATCATCAACTAGCGACCCTTTCTCGAGGAGGCTTTCTGGCGACATGCGGGTACCGCCGCTCTCCGTGCCCACCAGTCTTCCGTTGCACCTCAAGACGTCAAACCTACTAGACTCTCCCGACAGATACACGCAGACTCCTCACTCTGCCCTCTCACCTTCCCCTAGGAGCCAGCCATTCCATCTCGGCCAGGACTATAGGTCACCTCGGTCCGTCTCCGACCTCGACAGGTCACCGCCTACTCGCACCAGAAGGAATAACAGCGACGATGCATCATCGCACAGCTACGAAGTGGAGGAGATGGAAATGGAGGAGACCAATTCTATGAAGAGATTGCGGATAGAGGATCCCATGAGAGCACACTACGATGGTGCTGGGGCGAAGCGCCGTGCATCCGCTGATCCCGACGACAGCGTACCACTTGGTTTCACCACCCAGAGTGACTTGCTACGCCGTCGCGATGGAAACCAAAGAGGATCCCCCACGCCTCGACTGAGTGTCATCCCTCAAGGATCAATCTCTTCGCCATCCGGTCGCGCAGGGTCTTACAGCTCTAACCTATCACTACTCACCGGGAGCATTACCAGCATGGGCTCGTCGTCGTTTGGCCGAGTCTCTCCAGGGGGCCTTTCCCCAGGTGGAATTTCGCCCGGCGGAACCGACCCCAGCTGCAGCTCTCCCTACAGTGCATCAATGTCGCTCAACCCCTCGCCTCGCGGTTCCCTTTCCAGGGCACCCCACCAGCGGACCATTAGCGAAAGCCGGCCTCTCGCTTCTCCCCGCAAGCTTACGGAGGTGAGCAAGCCTGGTGGAACCAAAATTTCGGGATTCTTCATGTGCGATTGTTGCCCGAAGAAACCCAAGAAATTTGAGTCGGCTGAGGAGTTGGCGTAAGTACCGACCCTGCAAATATCATAAGCTTTTCGCTAACCGTCAACAGGTCTCATGAAGCCGAGAAGCAGTATGAATGTTCTTTCTGCGGAAATCGATTCAAGAACAAGAATGAGGCCGAACGCCACCAGAATAGTCTTCATGTTCGCAGACACAGCTGGAGTTGCTCAGCCCTGAATGGCTATGATCGTGCGTTCCACGACAGTACCAATCGCCCCGGTGAAGCAGACTCTTGTGGCTACTGTGGTGAGGAGTTTCCTAGAAACGGGAGAGGCCCTGGTGCTTCCGCACCGCGACACGCTACCGACCAGGATTGGGAAGAGCGCATTCGCCATCTCCAAGAAGTACACAAGTTCAGGGAGTGCAACAGCAGCAAGAAGTTTTTCCGCGCAGATCACTTTCGGCAGCATCTTAAGCATAGCCACGCAGGCACAAGCGGCAAATGGACGAACATGCTGGAAAATGCTTGCATGCTGGATGAAGATCCTACTCCGAGATGAGCATAAGCCAAGCTCCCAAGCTCGACTTACCGATGATTCGTTGGAGACCATGGCATTGGTTAACTGGCCATTCATTGAACGCAAATCTCCGGGGCGCGTAGCGCGACATCACTCGGATGCGTCCAACTAATACACCGAATGCGAGCGAACGATTGAGACTGGACAATCAGTCAAGATGAAGACGGCCGTTGACGCACGGGGCCGAGTGGAACATGTCGAGAAAAATCCAACGCCACGGTCTGGTTAGCAATTCCCTTGCCAGTGCCATGCGCCGTACAAAAAAGAAAAAATCAAAAGCATTTTGTTGAAGCATGTGGGCAGCATCCTCGGGTTTGATGGGCTGGCCATTTGGAAGCACCCATATTTTGGGGCCTTTGGAGTATAGGTGGTTGCCATGAGGGGCTTTCAGGCACCAGAAACATATCTGCAAGCTGTCTGTTGCGCGCATTCCATTTGGAGGAAATACCAGGCATGATCGGGCCAGTCAGTGGTGGGGAGGTGATACGATGAAATGATATTGGTATTAGAAGAGATGCAGCACATACTTCAGCCAGACTGAAGAGTTCAAGCTAGCAATGTATTTTGTAGGGTCAGGGCACACAGGTTGGACAATAGTGAGAAAAGAATAAAAAGCTACCAAATCTCGAACAAGTTACTGTTTCCCTCCATAACATGTCTCTGGCTTAGATTTGCTTTCTCGTAATTATGTGGTTGAGTACTTGGTTTCCGAATTGGCATGATGGGATCAAGAGGAAGGTAGTCTGACAGTCAATGGAGACTTGATCAGATCCACAGCTGGCTAAAGCCTACGAGTAGCTACAGTACGGAGTACCCCATGTTGGTGTCTGTTGAGCAAGGAACAAACGCATGCTCTGGTACCTTGCTCTGTGTAAACGCCAAGTCGCCATAAGGCTTCATCAACGGCAATTCGGCATGCCACGGTGAGGCCGCCGGTTGACAAAAGGTCACATGATCTCAGCCCTATGAGCCACAGAGAGATGTGGCGGTGGCGCATGGCTTTTTCCTGTCTTTACCCAATATGCCAATGTACCCTACCTTAGTAACAATAAATAGTAGGCATGGGAAAGTGCCCTGAGGGGAAGGGGCAAATGACCTGGACCTGAGGCGGGGGAAAGGGGGGCCACACCGCGGGCACGAGGGAACAGGACGCCGGACATTTCTTTCCACCACACGGCCGAGTGGCAGGAGCCAAGAGCACGAGGGAACGAGGGTACGTACAACACAACGACTGAGGCGACGAAAACAAAGGTGGAGGCTTGGCTCTTTTCGGCAACGGCAGTATTCTGGGAAACAAAGCTAGAGCAACTTCAGGCCGAGCCACAAGCACAACTGCGTCATTCTCGTCACCACCACCCAACCACTACCACCAGCGTTCGTCGCATCCTGAGATTGGCACGCGAGAGGGGTCTGTCTTTCTGGTAGCTCTTGGGCTTGGGACACCGACATTGACTCTTTCGTTTCCCCCTTCTCCCTTTTCTCTCTTGGTCACACACCAATATCCGTAGACAGCAGGGAAACTTACACCGTCATACACTACCATACTACGCTCATGTATCTTGTGCCAAGCTGCCCTTTGAACCCTTCATCGATAAAGCCACTCGCATGGTCCGTGGCCACATTTCAACCGAGGACGTGACGAAGCGATTGAAAGAGATCGAGTCAAGCTTGACGACCACGACCACGACCACGACGGCATTGCAGGACGCGGCGCAGGTGCTACCCCCCAAGGAAAAAGAAGCGCCGACCAATACGTTAGAGATCTACACAGGCGAGCCTGAAGGGAGCGAGGAAACTGAAGCTTTACACCGACTTTTGAAGAAGAGCTGCGTCGAAATGGCGATGAACCGTATCGATGGCAAGGAGGAGCTCTATGTCGGCGGGTGAGACACATTATCTCCGTCGTCATCTTCACTGTGAGGCTCACTAACGTTATTTACCAGCATATGGGCTTTGCGCCGCCCTTCAGCACTGAAGGAGCGCAACATCACCCACATTCTGTCCGTGCTGCGATTCGACCCGGCCGGTCTCAAGAGCGAGACCGACACCTGGGAGAACTACGGAAAGAGCTACAAGCACATGGTCATCGACATCGACGATGTCGAGGATGAGGACCTGCTCGTTCACCTGCCCAAGGCCGTCCGTTTCATCGAGGATGCGCTGTACCCCGGCGGCAGCAGCAAGAAGAGCGTCACGGATGGGCCTGAAGAGGAGGCCCAGAAGGACAAGAGCTTTGAGGAGAAGGCCAAGCGCTTGAAGGCGGCTGTGGCCAAGGATTTGGAGACCGAGTCTGAGTCTGAGACGGAGGCTGCCTCGGCTAAAGCGGCGGCGGCAGAGGCGAAGCCCACAGATCCGGATGCCATCCTCCCTGCCCCCCTATTCGAGCAGCTGGATCTCAGTTCTGACGGGGAGAAGCCGGACCCCAATGCCCCAGGCGGCGTCTATGTCCACTGTGCCATGGGCAAGTCCCGTTCCGTCTCTGCCATCGTTGCCTACCTCCTCTGGAAACACCCCTCCCGCTTCGGCAGGTCCGCGGCCTCGACGGCCGCCGCGCAGAACGGAGCATCAGGAGGGGCGCCCAAGTCCGCTGAGGAAGCCGCAGCAGCGCAAGAGAGGGCTGCAGCCGCCGTCGCCGCCGCCGTGAAGTGGGTTCGCAATACGCGAGAGATTGCGGAGCCGAACCCGGGCTTCATAAAGCAACTCGAGATGTGGTGGATCATGGGGTGCCCTGAAGACGTGGCGTCGCACCCCATTTACAAGCGGTGGGAGTTCCAGAGGGAGATTGACGAGAGCCTTGCCGCGGGTCAGGCACCGACAAAGCTGCGGTTCGAGGACGAGGAAACGAGCAAGGAAGAGGCGGAGAGCGTCAAGGGCATGGAGGTGCGGTGCAAAAAGTGTCGCAAGACGCTGGCCACGCCGCGCTTCGTACTCGATCACGAGCCCGATGCCCCTAGGGACCAGCGGCAGCAACAGCAGCCGTGCGGACACGTCTTTGTGGAGCCGCTGGGGTGGATGAGGGAGGAGCTGGAGAAGGGGACGTTGGAGGGACGGCTGTCGTGCCCGAATCAGAAGTGCGGCGCCGCCGTGGGGAGGTACAGCTGGCGGGGATTCCGGTGCAGTTGCGGCGGGTGGGTTACACCCGGGTTCAGTCTGCAAAAGGGGCGTGTGGACGAGGTTGCTGCGAGGGTTCCTGGGGCTGGGGGTGCGGCAGCGATGGGGATTCGGATGCCGCCTGGTTCGGGGAGGTTGTAGATGCATAAGCGTTGAGTTCGCTCAGAGCTTGCGGTTAAGAGCTAGAGCTAGATGTAGATGGTGAGAATACATGGTGGAAGAATGTGCATTTGGCAAGGCGTTGGAAGAGGGGGCTTTGGCCTGGAGCTGGGTGGGAGAGGGAAGGATCGCATGACATATACGGTTGCATCAGCCTGGAACAGGGGAGACGGGAGGGTATTCCTAGATGGCATGGAGACTCGTTCTAGATGATCCTCGCTGACTGCAGACTCTTGAATTGTACGTACATCTGGCCCCGTCAATGGATTGTTACATGTGAATGGCTGGATACCTTGCCTATCTTCATGGTTGCCTTGGATCAAGGTATTGCCGTACGGATACTTACCCACGCTTAGTGTGCCCAATGAGATTGTTGATGAATGTGAACTCGCTTTGACGCTGGCCATGAAGAAGTTTACTCGTCCCAGTAGTCACTGATGTTAGTCTCTATTCGTTGAATATGTTTACTTACTGACTGTGTAAGGTTCGCTTCAAACCAAACGCTCTTTCAGCGTACGACTAGCGACGATTCCTACTCCCAGAGTGCGCATGTATGCTCGCGTGCTCCCCTAGAAGCTTACTCCGGGCCGTTGCAGCGAGAGAGGGAAACTTGGCTTTACCTTATCCCGAGCTTCGTACACCTAGGTACATGAGTGGATCGGACCACAGACGCAGGTTGCTATCGAAGCACTGTAAAGACACCCTGTTTCTTTTCCAAGATCATCTTCCTTTCTTGGGGCGTTGTATTACTTCGGCCCGTTTTTGACGCATGTACAGTTGGAGCCAGACTAGGATGCTTCTTGCTTGCAGAGGGGGTAAGAACGAGATAGAGATTTTCTAGGAGGTAAGATTGCTGCCTGGATGCACGAGATGGAAGAGCCGAGGCGGGAAAGGTGAGGTGAGGCGTGGTAGGTGATCCATATCCGTACAGTTGAGGCAGGCCAAACCCATCGATTGCTAGTGATCTGAACGGCAGTTGGTCTCTTCTGTGAAGTTCTGTCAGAGTGTGGGGCGGAACCAGACGCACTTTGGATTCTAGAAGAAGGTGAAAATGCTGCCTGCAGTGAGCTAGATGCGCGAGATCTAAGGTAGGCGCAAGGCAGCGTGAACAACTATCCGTAATGTCCCGCGGAAAGAATGTTAGGCAGGCGAATTCTGGATGTTCGAGGGGGCAACGGAGATGATGCTGATTGTCTGCTTGGGGGTGTGGTAATGGTTCCGGAAGTTTGCCAAGTTGGCGTTGCCTACGTCTAGTTCTCGGCGAACGATGTTTCTCCTGGGGTCGATGGGAGGGGCCCTGTTCTAGATCGCAGAGGGATCGTCGTAAGACTGGGAAGAGTGAAGAGCATTGTCATCACCCGCGAAACGGCGGACCCAAGGCTGATGAATTTCTTTCTGTTTCTTCCTGGTCTAGATGAGGCACTGTGAGCCCAACATGATGGTTGATGCCTTCTCGCCTCTGTCGATGTCGGGGAAGTGAAGGGCGCTTCACCCTGCTTACGCTTACGGAAGGAGTTGGGAGTTGGGAGGCTGTACTGGGTCTCAGGGGTGGGCCCTTCTAGTCGGAGTCTGGAGACTTTGCGAAGACATGGAGTCTACGACGATGATTATAATCACTTATGCGGCGCCGTTGCATTATCAGGCTATGTTGGAAATTATTTCGACGTTCGGAGAAGAAGTGGCCACGGTTGGATTACGAGAAGTTCTCCTAGGCGTGGTACGCATGGAAAGCGGAAGGGTCGATGAGCGGGACGAAGATCAGGACGACATCACGATGACACCCCTGAATGGCACTCTTCCAGAGGCAGTCATCCAGAGCGCGATAGAAATGCAATAAGGCCCTGTAGCTCGGATCTGTCTCGCGCGGCCTTGTGCACGCCTTCTGGTCTCTTGACAATCTTATTCCAATTCTCGTTTACTAAAATCCAGCTTTCTACTGAATCACTTGTGATGCTGATTATTCATCAACAAGTGAGCGGATAACCCAGAAGACGATAGCAGGCGAGGTACAGAACTGAATGTCGCAAATCGTTATAAATTTGACAGTAAAGCAACCCGCCAACATACATTTGACATGTTTTTCATGCTCAAGCGAGCATTCTCATACCCTCCTCGATGTTCAACCTTGACTGCGTGACAGAGTCACTGGGTTAGGCAGCAAGCCGCAGTATCCTCCCTTTACGACCGCCTGCGGGTCTTTGGATGTGGACTGTTAGGTGTGAGTGTACGCCAAGCTCTACTCACAAAGCGAGCGGAACAAGGTCTTGAGACTCTGACCAGCTTAAAAGCCAGACCAGGCTACATATCCGCAAATGACCAGCTACCTCCTGTCCTAAAGACGTCCCCTTCCGGATCTTCGCCCGTCCGCTGAGATTGAGGGCAAAACTGCACATCAATCCATAGTAGGCCCCCTAGAGCTCACTAATCTCGACATCGATTGAGATCCCTCCTTGCTACATCCAACGGGCATATACTTGCTAGTGTTGGTCAATGAGGCGCAGCAGCGGCCAGCATACTGATGCTCCTACGCCGCATACCCAGCGGAACCTCCGCCGTACAGAGGACACATGAGCTCGCTACCTACTGTCCACACCATGCTCGACCGACGACGGGCCTGCAGTGGTGCAATCCTACGCTTGTAAGGTAGAGGGAGTGGGAAAGAAAACGCATATCGTAAGACGAGTCTAGCCTGTCACGATGCCGTTGGGAGCGAAGGAGCAAGGGGAGAGAAGGAGGGGTATGATTTCTCTGAATGCTAGTGCTCTCTGGCGTACGGGGTTCTTCTCACCTGCCGCTCTAAGCGTCTGTGTATGCAAGGTATCTCCTCTCCATGTCCCTGTTGTATTCCTTCGACTAAGGGGGGGGTATACTATGTAGTTCGTGGGCCTCTCGTAGGAGTCGAGGCAGATTTTGGGCTGATGGCGAAAGAAATAGCTCCAAGGCTGCAGTGAGGGTGTACGATCATCTTTCCCCTTCTCTCAGCTTGGTGTCCTTCTCTCAATCTCACAACGGGTATCCGTGCTCACGAGCGTCCGTGTGCGTGGGGGCTTCATTGTGGATGGATTCTCGGGCATGGATGAAGTTCCTCCATGTCGGTATGGTTGCTTTCATCTTGACCCTCAGCCGGGTCTACTACATAGAGGAGCTGACAGTATTTCCCATTATAGATGCATCTGTCAGAGTGCTGCCGAAAGAAGATCTAATCCCTTACGGAAAGTAAGCGGTTTCGTTCGCGATGTTGGCGCACCAGTTCCTTCTTTCCCCAAAACGTTGACCCCTATTCTGCCATCCTTTTTTCGCAGCTCGAAGGATCACCATCCCGGCACGGACTCGGGCTCCGAAGACCAGAAACGCCGCCTAGGAAATTCCTTGGGAAGAAAGACCGCCCCGCGCGCGCGCACGCCCCGCCTTCTATTTCCAAGCTAGAGCGAGTCGGGACGGGAGGGGGTTGTTTGCTATCTTCCTCTATCACTCTCCCTGTTTCCCTTTGCTTGCTGGGACTGTGGTCTGTCCCGGCTAACGGCACTTCCGAGGCTGTGCAAGGAAAAGAATATTGGAGCCTGTAGGGCTGGAGGGACCCTCTTCCTGTTTGCTGAAGAGAATCGAGGTGGTCGTGGTGTGAGCATAAAGGCCTGATGCCAGCGGGTGTGAGACTTTGAAAGGATTTGTCTAGTGAGAAAATCTGATGCCTAAGTGTTTTAAGATCCTTTGAGACGAAAATGCCAAGTTCGTGACCATAGTGGCGCTTTATGTGTATATCTAGGCAGTGATTGGACAAATCAGGCCTATGGCCTTTTAACAAAACGACTCATCTTGTAACCTTGTCCAACGAGCGTTTTCTTCCGAGAGGTGCGATATCTTCGGCTGCCGGCATTGCTTTGGCGCTTTTCAGCATTAGACGACACTCATTCGCTTCTTGCGGGGTCTTTATTTCGGCCAAGACTGGGTCGTAAGTATTTGTTAATAAACAACAACCTTTGTAATTGTCTCCGCTTTGATACGCAGCCCCAGGCAGCAGCATTTCTCAAACATTGACATTGAGGAACTTGTAAGAGAAACGTACACGTTTGTGTCATAATTGGCAATACGAGGTTTGTAGAGGTGGCGCTTTTTGAGTTTATGCGGAACTTCGATGTTGTGGTTTTCTAATATTTACAGTCAGAAGCATATTGCCGTAGCCGTTTGAATACCTTACTTGGAAGAGCACGTGAAATTTAGAGTGTGAAGTAATAGGGCATCGTACTTGGTTTGGTCAAATACTACGGATAGTGATTTGTGAATGATTTATCATATGGCATCAGTCGTATAGCAAGCATACGTTGAAGACTCTATCAATACTTTCGAAGAAGGCGGCTAGACTTGACATGTAGCATAATGGTATAAATAGCTGTGGACCGCATGTCTAGAAGATGAGAACAACATTGTAGGTCTTAGGTGTTCTACAACTATTACCAACTCAAGCCGGAAAGGCTCCAGGCACGGTTAATGTAAACATGTTTCGAGGCACAACTTCGTATGACCCGAAATTCGTGAAGTCTGCCATGAAAATTGAAATTTGACTTGTCTTAGACCTGGCTCCAATTTGCAACAAGAGGCTTTAATTGAGACGCTCTGTTGAGACTATTGACAGAACCTTACTGCAAGTCTGCTTCCGTACTCTGACAACCTCTGGGAAACGCACGAAATAGGTAAATGCCCAACTTGCTTTTGATCTCGTACCGAAGATCTCTTGATAGAATCGCGAAGGACAGCATTTCTTGACTTCTGATGATTGAACAATTACACAAGTCGTTGTGAGGTTGATACAGAGTAGTACAACACCAATATGTCTTACTACGCCGCCAACCACGTCGCATTGGCAGCAACTCCAATGCTAGATGTCTTGGCATGCCGCATCATTCTCCTGTACTCCTCAATCTTGGAAAGCCCAACCATGACAACTTCCTCGACAGCCTCCTGTCCAATATTCTTCTTCCAGACAGAAATCACACCATTGACTTGATGATCGTCAATCGTGACAGACAAAATCATCTCCGCCTCATTCCTCAGCTCCCACGACGCCCGTCCATACGCCTTCATACCCGTCGCCTTCCAATGCACATTGCCCAGCTCGCCTGACTCGTACTTCCCATCGCTCTCTTTGATATCGATCTTGAGCGCACGTTGCGAGAATTGGATCTCGGTCTGGGCAGGCAGGGTGTGGAAATCGATCAGGGCCACTTCTTGGCCTCCATTCGAGGGTGATGTGACATAGCACTTGTCTCCCCAGGCTGCGAGGACTGCTTGCCGTTTTACTTCGTATCGCGGTATTGTGTCGCCCTTTACGCCGAGGACGCGGCGATGATCTTTGAGCGCGGTGTAGTGGATTTCCAGGGCAGGTGTCTCTTCGGTGCGGCGTTTGTCCGGGGTGGCGTCTACGCGGACGATGAACTTTTCAAGCCAGCCGGGAGCCATTGTGATAATTTTGACAGGAGGTAATCTGTGTAGTGAGAAGGTTATCTGGGTATGCCAAGGCTTCTGCGTATCGGTCAAATCTTTCGTCTTTCGACTTATGCTAGCAGGTGTCGGGTCACAGGACTCATAGATATCAGCTTCATGGCTGTTGCCTAAATGACTCCATCGTACGAGGAATCATAGTGTTAATACCTCTTGAGTGGGACGTCTCAGCCCAGCTGGGCAAAGCGAGACTGGGTGTTGTTGAGGTCCCCATCATTGTCATGGGCATACTATTCCGATGGCGGAGTTGGCGGAGGAGTTTCCCGGGTAGAGATCCACTGTCAGAGCTTCAGGAGCCTTGTCGTCTATCTCAAAGTAGACGAAACGGTGGAAAGTGGGGGTTCTCCGGCTCAGACCCGTGATTTCGGGCTCCAATATCGTCTTCGGGGTCCATTATTGGTCCTCTCGGGCTCCATTTGTAGGGAAATTGAACAGAGCCTCAGGGTCCGAGGTCATCTAATGGTAGCCAAGCACCTGGTCGTCGGGAGAACGACATACTTGAACTTGTGGTGGTTCTCCTCCTGCCTTATTACCTCACCTTTGGGCCCGAATCCATGCAATATGAACACCAAGGCACGAGAATTGAATGATTCAAGTCCTATCGAGAACTTGAGAGAAGGTAGCTTGCCTAAGGTACGTCACAGATACACGCAACTCAGGGGAGTGCCCATATATGGTTTGGCTACTACTGTTTATTCCAGAAGTGCTCGGCTTTTATTGATCAAGCGGAAGCTTGGAAAGGCGTGCGTAGACATAACGAGAAAAGCCACTCGGAAGTGGGAATTAAAAGTCCATGATGATGGATGATGGATCAACAGCGCTGCGATATGCGTCTATTCCTTTTGGGTGGAAACTCTGGGAACTAAAGATAGATCCTAATTGACAGCATGGTACATCGTTTGGCTTTTATTACCACAAGTGCATTATAGTAAGTGAAGCAGACATGGGCACCGGCAACACCTGAGCGGGCCAGTGCCGCTACGACATCGTCAATAGGGCCGTCGGAAACCCGGGCCCGGCCGGTGTCACTCGGTCCGGCCGGTCACCAATTCGACGTTACGCCATCCGATCAGCTCTGCAAATGTGAAAGTCGAGAAGGAGACTATCTCTCCGGACAGCACGGGCATTGCCAAGATGTTGTCCAAGAACACTTGCAATTTCCGCCTCATTCGAATCGGTTATTTAGGCTCATTACCGGATGCGACGCTGATCTCCACCCCCTCAATTGGTGGAAACTCTGCTCCCCCAGCAGAGACTCATGAATGTTCACTTAAATGTCGAGAGTTCGGATTCGGGCGCAGGGTCACGGAGTAGCCCGGGCACAAAGTGTCCAGAGAACTCAACTTTGGAGACATGTTTCCACCTTAATTTTCACCTCTATGGATATCACTCTGGGTCAATGTGGCGTGATACAGGGCTGCAGAAGCGACATAAGATAAGCATTTCGGATGCCACCTACAAACTGTACATGGCTCAACAGCTCTATCGGCTGAGACATCTTCTCAAGGTAATATTTTGACCGTTTATATTAATCACACCTTTTACCTTTCAGATGACAACATTGCGCGACTTTAAACTTGAATGGCGGGACTCGGGAGTTGCCCCTCTCAGCTTAGCTCGGCGCACCTGTCAACCTCCCGGTTCTCCACTCCCGGGGGAACACCCCGGACTCGGGAATCTCGGTGCAGCATCACTCCGCTCCAAGATGCAAACTTTACTGCCGCGCTTGAGACGATGTGACCGGTCTTCTATTCCGTGCAGCTACAAAACATCTCATATATCCACCGGAGCTGCTCCAATGTGACCTTTGTGATCCTCATTGTCTCTCTAGCTTAGAGCATGCCCTTGAGGTTCCTCAGAAGATCAGCATCCAAGCCCCCGGGTCGAGATCATCACATAAATCGTCAAGCTCTCAAACTTCTGCTCTCCTCCTCTTAACCATCCACCATGCGTATTCTCACCGCACTCCTCGCCCTAGCCACCTCGACTATGGCAGAGACACTCCTATACAGCAACCCGCTGAACTCAACCGCCGACGTCGCAACCTGGGTGGCAGAGGGCCCCCTCACCGTAGCAGCCGTCAACGATACCCTCGAGCTCTCGGGCGGCGGCAACCCAGACGACTACTTCGTCTACTGGGTCCCCGAAGTCTTCCCCGACGGCATCCGCATCACTTGGGAATTCTCCCCGCGCAACGAACCCGGCCTGGCCATGTTCTTCTTCGGCGCCGCCACCGTCGCCGACGACGGCAAGGGGTCCATCTTTGACCCGTCCCTCAAGCCCAGGAACGGGAGCTACCCACAGTACCACTCCTCCGACATACGTACGCTGCATGCGTCCTACTTCCGCAGGCGCTGGCCCGAAGAGAGGGCGTTCCATCTGGCGAACCTGCGCAAGTCACCTGGTTTCCACCTTGTTTCTCAAGGCGCGGACCCCTTGCCCCCCGTCCCTGATGCCGCTGGTGCGTTTTACAAGATTGAGGTCATCAAGGACAAGCGCGAGGTGAAGTTCCGCATCAACGACTTGCCCATCTTTGAGTTTTACGACGACAAGTCCACGGGACCTATTATCCGGGACGGAAGAATTGGGTTCAGACAGATGCAACCTCTTGTTGCGAGATATCGTAACCTTCAGGTATGGAAGCTTTGAAGAAAGGACGATGACGGAAATTGATAGATGTATTATGATGCCTTGATGTAATCAATAATAAGCCACTATGACTGCGACCGCACTTCTTCAACCTCCTTTAATCATCGTGCTCCTGGACCCCATTCCGTAGCCTTGATCTCCATCGAATGGGTCGGCTCAGATCAGCCGACAACTTGGGCACAACCTCGCTCGTCACAGACCCCTCGTCGCCAATCTTATCCAGCTCCTCGATCAAATCAGCAACATCCGGCGGTGGCGCCGTATCGAACACGGCCTGGATGTCACCGTGCGGCGAAAATCCCGAAAGCTGCCACCCCAAGAACCTTCGGCGGCCACCGCCACCATTCATCTTCTTCCTCATCCGGCGCGAGAATTGTCGCCTCTCGTATAGACTGATGAGCAGCAGGGTCGGCAAATTCAGCGCGCGGATCAGCGCCACGTTGACCCTGTGAAACGTCTCGGCTGACACGGCGAACCGTAATGGCAGCAGCGTCGCAAGCGCAAAGATGTTGAAAGGCGGCGGGTACGCGAAAATGGCATCGCTTTTGACGCCCTCGAAAGTCAGCACCGCGCGGCGGAAGCGCACCTCGGCCGCCTCGTCGGCAATGATGTTGGAAAAGGTGTTTGTCAGAACGGCGACGAGGATCGTCAGGAACAGCGTGTTGCCGAGGAACGCGAAGCCGACCATGAGCGCCGGGCCGAGAATGATGTGGAACTGCGTCGACTCCTGGATGCCGGTGCCGTCGAGACCGAACCAGATCCAGAGCATCCACTTGCAAATGGCGAACCACGAAGGCGTCTCGTTGAGGTTATCGTTGGAGTCGATGAGCCACTGCAGCGCAAGGAGGAAACCCATGAAGCACCAGCACGCGAGGAACGACAGCAGCAAGAAATCCTTCATCATGGCGTGCAGGGAGATGAGGACGATGTTGTCGGGTGCGATGTTGAAGGCGACGCGGGTGAGAAGGATCGGCGCCGCGAGCGGGAGGATGTGTAGGCCATGGCCGTCGGGGAAGTGTCCTGCGCCTACGTCGTATATGCGCGCGAGGACGTATACAGCGTAGATTGCGGAAAAGGTGACGTCAAGCCAGGACCAGAGGTTTTGCGCGTGGACCTCCCAGCCATGTTCCGCGACGGCGGCAACTTCGTCGAGGACCCAGCCGGCGGCGTAGATGCAGAAGAGGAACTCGAAGACCTCGTTGCTGCTGCGGCGGTAGAGCATAGCGAGGAAGTAGAGAATCATCAGGATGAGGAACTGGACGAATTCGATGGAGTTACGGGAGCGCGGGACGATGAGACGGTAGTGGTTCAGGAGGGGCGCTTTCCGCGGGTCGTAGAGGGAGATGGGGCGGTACTCGTAGTGGTCGGGCAGGATGTCGACAAAAGAGAGCGGGGTGTAGACGACGCGGCCCTCGTAGACGGCGTTGATGACGCGCTGGCAACCGGGCGAGGAGATAAAGGTCTTGCTCTCGGAGAGGATGGCCAGCTCGAGGGCGGTGAGTTTGCGTTCGAGACCACCGCGTTCCTGGGGTGCCCACTGCCGACGGCCTTCGAACTCCACGGCTTCGGGGGCGCCCTCAAACGGATCGAAGCCGCCGACGAGGAGGCGCGAGAGGAAGAGGAGTCCTTGGGAGCCCGGATTGGCTTCGTGGAAGCGGCGGAGGACGCGGGCTGCTACGAGTTCGCAGAGCGTTGCACGTGCTACGTTGACGGGTTGATGGACTGAAGTTGCCTGCTGGCGGAGGAAGTAGAGGCGGTTGGCAAGGAGGCAGTAAACTTATTCTGGTGTTAGTCATGAGTAGTACTGAAGAGAAGGGGGATCACATACCTATGGTGATGTCGTTGGGATGATACAGACGCTCAACGAGAGGCCGGACGATGAGAATGTTCATCCTGGGGTCACTCAACTGGCTCAGTGTGTATGGATCATCTAGATCTCAGTGTGAGTACACTTGTTTCCTGACATTGAAAGTTGGTTCTTACCTATACTTGCATTGATGAGCCGGCGGACGCTATCTCAAGGTCAGCATTCTACTACCCCAATTTGACTGAGCATTAGATATTCCGAGCTTTGATGGACGTACCGATGCATTGAAACATAGATGGGCAGCTCAGAAACTGAAGACGGAATCCCTGGTTTCTCTTCATCGTCACCATCACCAAGACAAGCCTCAGTCTCGGAGCCGCCAGCGACACCAGGACCTTCGTCGTCGTCCTCCTCGTCACCACGACACCTCTGACGGCCCGTCCACAACTTGGCCTCTTCCGCCATCTCCTCCGTCGGCGACCGTCTCATCTCCAGCTTCTCACAGGTCGGTGTGGTCCGTCTGCGTCGCAAATACATTCACTTTTGCTATGGGATACATCAAGAGGCAAATGGTGACGGCACACAGATCAAAGGGCCGTGGACAATCGGAGAAACAAGCACCTGTCCTGATTGTCCACTGACGAATCATCCCCTTAAATGGACAATACGGAACAGCTGGGGTAAAGGGGCCCTGTTTTTAGTCATGGAATCTTGGCGATTCATTACAAGACACCAGCCGCGATGCCCAGGGTTTGGGAGGAAACCATTATGTAAGTGCGAGTCGCTCCGCACGCGCGTAGCCGGTAACCCCTGACAAGACGCCAAACACCGAAGCCGTGCTAAATGAGCCTCCCGGTGGAAGCACATAATGAGGGACGAGGAGTCTAGAGAAAGAACGGAAGCACGAGCTTCAGATAGGATCTTCAGCGAAAGCTCCGTGTGAGGCAGGAATGCATGTAGAAGGCACAGGGGCAAAACGGAGTAGCAATAGATCCATTACATTTATCCCGAATCGAAGGCAATAACTCTGAAGGCTTTGGACTAGAGTAGACTGGTTGTGGGAGGAAGCATCCAACCCGAAGAGAGAGACAAAAAAGAGTTCACCACCGGTATAGCTACACCTCTTGATGCTCATGGAATTTGCGCCCTGGAACTCTTAGCCTTCATATTCCAGGCTTGTTCTTGGACTTGAGCACTCCACCTTCCAGTCACTTCTGTCCCGATCGCAGAGTTTGATAGAATGTAACGAGGTCATCAGACATAGACTGGCAATCTGGAGACCGTTGAACAGCGGATACCCGGGCTTCATCACTGTCTCCGCCAAGCCGGGCATGGCAAGAGTAAGGTAAGGGAGGTCGCGTTCGCGAATCCGGGGTCCACCGAGACCAAGCCTCTCGGAGCACCGGCCTTACATTTCTCCCTTTCGCCCGGCGCCTCAGCGGGGCCTGCCCAACCACCCGCAACCACCACCCCGACCGCGGGGTCCTATCGATAACCGTCACCCAGCTTCATCACCACGCAACGTCATCCAGGCAACGACACAAACGCCCACCAAAACCCAAAGATACTCACAACCTCACCAGGCTCACCACACCTCCTCTCCGACACCCCAAGAGACAAAGATACCCTCCCCCACGAACCTCAGCAACACACACAAATCACCAGCAACCATGAACCGCCTCTTCGGCGCAGCCCCCAAGGGCCCAAAACCAACCCTAAACAGCGCAATCACAAACATCGACGACCGCATCTCCTCAATCGACGTGAAGCTCTCCGCCCTCACCGCAGAACTAAACACCTACCAACAAAAACTCTCCAAAATGCGCGACGGCCCCGGCAAAAACGCGATAAAGCAAAAGGCGCTAAAGGTCCTCCAGCGCCGCAAAATGTACGAGTCCCAGCGCGACCAGCTCCAGTCCCAGGTCTGGAACATGGAGCAGGCGCAGACGATGCAGGATAACCTGAAAAATACCATGGCCACCGTCGACGCGCTCAAGACGACCAATAAAGAACTCAAGAAGCAGTACGGGAAGGTGGATATCGACAAGATTGAAAGGTTGCAGGATGAGATGGCGGATTTGATGGATATTGGAAATGATATCCAGGAGAGTCTGGCGAGGTCGTATGATGTGCCCGAGGACGTGGACGAGGCGGAGCTGGACGCCGAGTTGGAGGCGTTGGGGATGGAGGCTGAGTTGGAGCCCGAGATGGGCGCTATGCCGAGTTTCTTGCAGGAGGAGTTGCCCGAGTTTGTGGATGAGGAGCCGGCCAAGGAGGGTGCCAAGCTCAAGGAGGCTGCTGGCTAATATGCTTGCAGAGTGTCGTGTAGGAAATGAGATAAAGACTAGATGGGAGAGCAAAGGCAAGCTTTCGGAGAGTTTCGTATCTCGGCGTAATGGCATACCTCATATCCACTTCATTACAAGTGCCAGGCACTGTGGCTATTCATGTTCACAACTCGAATTCACTTCTTATTGTTCCGAAACTCCTCTTTTTCCCAAAAATAAAACCAACGAGCCCTCCCTCTGCCGATACGATTCGCTATGCCAGTGAGATGCTACTACTACTACTACTGCTATTTCAACACGCCACGTCGTCCGCCTCTAGTCCACTGTCCCAAAGAACCGCGCAACCTCCTCCAGCTCCGGGTCATTGTTGCAAAAGTCCCAGCCCACAATGACACTCGTCTGACTACAACAAATGATCCTGCGGGCATCGTATTGCAACTTAAACACCCTTGCAGGGCCGTTGTCGCCGTTGGCAATGTGCGGATGGTGCGCCGCGTCAGGCACAGGGTTTTGCGCACCTTGTACCGGCACCGGCGTCGCCTGAGTCTGAACAGGCGCTCCCGGCTGCGTCGGCTGTGCTTGATTCTGAGCTTGTCCCTGGATGTGTAAATGTCCTTGCACCTGGGGCGTCGCAGGTCCGGCGGCGGGTGTAGCGGCGGTGGCGGCGGCAGCTTCTTGTTCTTGAGCGTGTCGCTGGCGCACAACTTCCATATGAAATCTGGTAAGGGTCGGCTGCTGAACCTGTGTGCTTGACGACGGAGCGAATCCATTCAAGGGTGGCAGCGATGGCGGATCAATTGTTTGCGTCTCGCGGTTCGCCATAAGACGGCGCGACTGGTTGAGTTGCGTCTCCAAAAGAGCAGCGTTGAGCACATTGCGGAGGTCGGCTCTGATGCGCGGGTTTGGCTCTCTGCTAATAGCAGCCTGAATGTGTGAATTGTACACCAACATTGTCTGGTAATGATGCAAAGCCTGGCGCAGCTGTGTCGGTCCCCGAGGCACAACCGCGTCAATCAGGTTCATAAAAGCCTGTGCCGAATCGGGCGTAATGGTGGCAATAATGGGATTGTCGACGGTCGTCCTGGGAGAAGATCCCCGAGTGCCGCGCGCCGTGGATGAGGAGCTTGACTCCAAGTTTGCCAGCATCTCTTGTGCCGTGAGCTGTGAAGCCGCTCTTGCCGCAGCTTGAGCTTGGCTTTGCGCTGCCGCGGCTCCCTCTTCCTGACGCAGATGTTGCGTGTCCTTCCAGACGCCCTCCTTATCACGGCGCCAGATGATGATACTCTGGTCGTAGGAGCCAGACACGATGCGAGCGTATTTGCCGCCACCGCCGCCGGGGGGGAGAATGGCACCATACGCCGTAATGTCCTCCGGTCGTTGACTACCCGCGTTACGGGCCTGGGCACGACCACGGCGACTGCCATGATCGCTAAAGGGGCTGACGACTCCATCAGCTACCGCCTTAAAGTAGAGCTCGTCAATCCTCTTGGCCTCAGCCTTATCCTCTTCAGCGCTGTAAGGAAGATCGCCGAAACCAGCCTGGACTGTTCGCACAAGGTTCGTGTGCGCGCGCAGACTGGCGACTTCGAGACCCGTGAACCTGTCAAACACCTTGACCTCGTTGTCGCTGCTGCCGCTAACAATCCTCCGACCGTCGTACTGCACGCAGGCAATGCCCTTGCTATGGCCAACGACTGTCCGGATACAGACCTGCTTTGTCCAGTCCCAGACCTTGATGTTTCTGTCACCGCTGGCTGACACCACTTCGTTGCCATGGATCTGAACGGCGTTGACAGCCGCGCCATGTCCGTCCAGAGAACCAATAAGGCTATACGCAGGCTTGAGGGGCAGGTCGTCCATGGGATTGCCGTATCCGTAGTCTCTGACGCGTTTCGGGGCGTTGAAGACGACATCGCCATCACCGTAGCCGGGGTCACCGTATTTGAGGGGACGGCGGTTGAAAATCTTGATGGTCTTGTCCTTTGAGCACGTGACCAGAATCCTCTTGTCAAATTTGATGTTGAGAACCGACTCGGAGTGAGCATTCTTGAGCCTTTGAATCATCTGTCCTGTTGAAAACTTCCACAGAATGACGTTGGAGTCACTGCTTCCAGAGACGATCAAATCTTCGTCCTTGTCCGCATCGAACTGCAAGCAGAGCACAGATCCAGTATGGCCTTCCAGGGGCGGCCTCAACAATCGCTGGGTGTGCAGACTCCAGATACGAAGGGTCTTGTCACGACTACCGCTAACGAGGTATTCGCTGTCGAATTGCAGACTGTATATGCACTCTTGGTGGCCTTCTTGCGGGTGATCCGGGTGGGGCAGCTGGAAGTTGGTGAACTTCCCAAGCTCCCAGTTCTGCTCCAGGCGGTGGCGCATCGTATATAGATACTTCCAGTCGAGCCTGTACCGTCGGCTAGGTGCGTCCCAGGACCATAGTGACGACCGCGAGATTCTGCCGAGAGCGTCGGTGGACATTATGGGCGGCAGCGAGTCTTCCTTGACAAGAGCGGCGCGCAACATCGGCGACGCTTTACCCTTGCCCTTGGTGTCGACGCCGAAATTTCTCTCTGTACTTCGACGTGTGGACCCCGAAGCCGACCTGTCCAGATCCATATCTCCATGTTGCGGCGTAGCTGAACTCCGAGAGAAGCCGAATGACGAGGCAGGGCTGCCAAAGATGCTGTTGCCCATGATGGAGTTCATCGAATCTTCCCTGGTGACCGAAGCCCCGGCGTCCGTCATCTCGAGATCATTGTCTTCGGATATCGCACGCTTCTTGTGCGTGTGGCCGTCCTCGCATGATCGAACCCTGTGGAGAGAGCTGGGGGATTGGTTCTGAGGTTTGTTCGCATCTTCTTCCCACTTGTTGACTTCCGAGTAGATGGCCTTCCAGCCCTCCATATTGTACAGCTTCTCCCATAGCTTGCGGTCGAGGGCCAGTTCGTGCCAGGCGTGGCAAGCCTTGGCGACGTGGATGAGAGAGAGGGGATCGAGGTATCCGAGAATCTTCAGGCAAACTTCTGTCGGCAAGTAGTGAACGAAGTTGATGTACATGCGAGGATGTAGACGCTCGACGATTTCGACGATGGTCGATGTGGGTAGCTGGTCGAGAAGAGCAATAGCAAGCTCTGTTCATTTGGCAAAGTGTCGTGTCAGTTGTTACCGCAAGGACTTTGAGCAAGCAGAGCAAACGTCTGCCCTGCTGCAGCTGCATCACAGGGCAAGGTAAACGTACCAGTCTTTTCAGAGGTGGACAGGCCGGGGAGATGCTGGGCGAGCCAGGCGGGCAGGTCTGCAGGTGGACGCGAGGCCGAGACATCCTGAGTGCCGCTGAAGCTAGGGTTCAGAGGGTCTTCGGAGTAGCCCTCGTCGGGCTGTTGTGAGGTAAAGGCAGACATGTCTGGCGAGAGTGTGTAGTTCGAGAGGTTATGGAGATGTCGCGCAGGACTTGGTCTCTACGGCTCTTCTCTAATGGCAAGGTATGCGCAGTCGCGGGCCATGCGTGCGAGGGGCAGAAGGGGTTCGTGCTCGGTCGCGGGGTGGACTACGGTCGATTGGCTTCTCTGGAATGCTTTGTGGTGGTGGTGGTGGTGGTCGTCGTCGTCTTCCTGGCCGAGAGTATGCAGCGCGGGAGAGAGGCAAGTGAGACTATGGGCGGACTGATATCCAGGGAAGTCTTTGGGCGACGTGATGCAAGGCGGCTAGGGTTCCTTTGATGGGCGTGGTTACGTATTGGTGGTGATGCAATGGTAGTGTAGAATGTTGTCTTAGTTGTGTCGCATCCAGAAAATAAAGCAAGGAATGGGTGCGGCTTGAAAGCTGCGAGTGTCGATGCAACAGCAGAAGCAAGGCAGGCAAAGAGAAGAGGAGATGGGACAGGGTGTGGGGTGGGAAAATGGTTGGATTGAGATTTTGGGATTGAGATGGAGAGTTGGATTGGGGAAAGGAAGGGTTGGTTGGATGATGTTGAACGGCGGGTTGAATGTTTGGATGTTTGGATGCTGGGCTGACCGGGGGCGGCAGGGCGGGTGGAAATGCAGCGGGAGCGCTTGGCCGTTGTTCGTTGAAGATGCCTGGATGTCGCCGTGAGGTAAGCAGGCAGGGCAATAATTACGGATGCAGGTAAGCGATCCAGACCTGCCGGATGATTAGGTGACAGTTCAGGTGAGCAAGGTGAACACAAGGCAATGGAAGGCAAGGCAAGGCAGCGGAGTGCGGAAGGGCGAGAGGCGGCGGCGGCGGCGGCGGGCGGTAAGAAGCCGGGAACCTTAGGGAAGCCAAGTGGGCACTGGGCGGGGATTGCTTTGCAGCCTGGAAAGCCTGTTTTTTGGTCCCTGGGAATCACCTCAACCTGGAAAATTGGTGATTGGGATAGGAGAGGGGAACCAAGGGAACCATGGAACATGGAAACACATGAACACAGCACCACAGCATCACAACACGTTGACCGCTGAGCAGCTACGGTACTATGCATACGGATCCACGGATACCTCATGCAAACGAGTTTTTGGCAGACTGAGAGAGGGCGGAGGTGGCGGGATGGGATGGGGATGATGGAGCAATAACAGACGGGTCCGGCGATTATCACTTATCCTTGTTCTCTTGTCTGAAGACATTGCTCCTCACACTTCTATTGCTATTTACTCTCCTCAGTCTCCATGTCTGTTGATCAGAGTAATTGACCAATATCATCATCGCATCGCATCCCCTTATCCCCTCGGCATCCTCTCACGGTGCCCATCTCCAACCTCTCCTCCTCATCCCCCCATCGACCCCCTCTGATATCCATACTGAGTGCGGATCCCAGACCAAGTCAGTGACAAGAGGTGTGGACATGCAACAGACAAAGTAGGCAAGGACCGGCAGGCAAAAAATAAGCCGCAAGAACAAGGGGGCCGCCCAAGCAATGCGGAGCGACCACCGGCCGCGGGAGTCTGCCGCCACGTCCGTCCGCGGCCCGCATTCCACTCGCTCACTCTGCGTTACTCCTAGAAAGCTTTCCAGCACTCACTTTACATGGTGCGGGCAAGGCATAGGGTCAGACCATAAGCCAAAGCCGCCGCGTTCTCCGACAGCAGATTCTCCCAAACGCCTCCTGGAAGCAGAACGGCTTCCGGGAAGAATGTGAAAGGAAGCAAAAGATAATGAAGCATCATCCAGCCCTCTCACTCCCATCTACTTTCAAGTTGCCATACTCCTCAAATTACAACTTTCCCCCTCCCGCTTGTGCCTGCCGCTTCACTGCACGAAATACATACATACAATACCTAGCCTTCGCAAAAGACCCGCAAATGAGCAGCAACGGGTGGCAAAAATGCGGGAGGGGCTTCGAGTGGGGTTGAATTCAGAACGTGCCAGCAGAAAGCAAGATTCAAAAGTGAAAAAAGACCTCACCTCAAGCTTATGGGGAATCCTAAGTTTACTAACTATGGTTGGGCAAGAGTGTGGTATGACACATATGTGCCTATCCAGATTTAGACACACCCGCTGCCGGCCGACGACTTGTCTTGCATTTTGTATATCCCCACGAGCGCAGGGTGAGATCTTGTCCTTTGGAGAGTTCGTGATCTCAGATACTCGCATAGTACATGAGACACATATCTAGATCTTACAACTACCTAGAGATCCCAGGTTAGAAATGACCTTGATCTCATCCCCCCTCAGCTTACTTGAAACATAATCACCATAATACCCATCCATATCATGAGCCGTAGCGTTCCCTCACATATACCTCATACCCGCAGATACACCTTCCTTCCCAATTTAAGCTCACAACTCAATCGGCCAAGAAAGTTTATTCTTCTTCTCAGTGAATCCCCTTCTGTATTGTTTGACTACCTACACCTACACATAAATAACATTCACGATTCCCCTCCCCTCCGGCGCCGACTTGTCCATCGGACAGCAAAGCCCATGTTCCCTCTATTACCCCTCCCATCGGGCTCCCGAGACTAGTATGGTTCATCGCAACATGAAATGCTAATTATGTGCCCAGACTCGGCTCTAGCTCTTAGGTTCCTGTATGTTACCTTCCAAGTTGTTTCCCATGCATCTTGGCTTTCATCACTGGCCGGTGCCATAGGACGCTTTTTTGATACTGGCCCATTCCACTTACCCAAGGCCGGTTGTATTTACTGTTGACTGCCTCATCATTCACCGCTTAGGCAAAAGAAAAGAAAAAATTAGGTGAGGCAAATTATATAGACATTTTCTCGCCACCTACCTTCATGGTTTCCCTTGCGCCTACGAGCTGCTGTCGAGAGGGCCCAAAAAACGGAAAGCCGAATGATAAGTCAGACGTACCTGTCACTGACACGTGTACGGTGCAGATCGGCGGCGGCGAACGTCCCGCCCTGATCAATAGTTTCCCCTTTCTCTTCTCTCATTCGTGATTTGAAATGGCCAATTCTCGGCCCTACCATGAAAGTAGGTGGACATGATCGCTCTGCCGATTCATCCGGCTTCAGCCATGAGCCGACACCAGGTGCTTCTGCCCTCCCCGGTGAGCCTCCGAAAAGTGACAACGCCCGGTCCGGGTATCCGCATGACTGCGCCTACCTCTCAGGTACTGAAAGCGCGGCAAGAAGTTCAGGAGGCTCACTAGGACAAACACGAGGGATCCCTCATCGTGATCTCTAAGGGACTCTCCTGACAGATGCAGGTCGAGCACGAACAGAGGCGGCGGGAACGACGTCGCACATGACAGAAAACTCCAATGAGGAAGCCGGCTTAGCTTCAATGACTTTCTCATCCGCCCGCAGTCATGTCGCACGAAACTTTTCTTGTGCGCGCGCTGTCCGGAGCTGACCTTGCCATTCTCCAGAAAACCTCCGGGTGAGTTTCTTGGGTGTTCGCCTCTTCTGCACGTCAGCCCGGGACTCCCCTCTCTGAATGCTTGCCTCCGAAGGGGGTATGACGTTCTTTCTCTATTAGAGGCTGCTCGTGTGAGTGCAGGCGTGTCATTGCCGGGCGCATCGAGTCGCGCACAAGATCACGAGGCGACGCTCAATAATCAGATTGTTTCCCGAACTGCCTGCGATGAGTCAAGGCAAGCTGTGTCCGTAAAAGCACAGGCTCTGGATGAGTGCTCTCAGAATGGAACGCCTGTTTGTGACAATGGACAATCAGAATGAGGCGAAATAATCCCCGAGCTTCGTCAGTCCACTCCGTGAACAATCGGCCTAAAGTGATTTTCCGGGGTACTTCGCCTTTTGCGTGGATCCACCACGAGTCCTACGGTCCCTATTCGTATCCGTGAGGTCTAGTCCTACCAGTTAAGGGATGGGCCGCGAGAGATGCCGTGGTTTGCGTGGGTGCATGCACGAGAGATTTGTCCCGATAGACTATCCCCAGTTTGTCCGTCCTGTGTGAGCCTCAGCCCAATGGTGACATCTTGGCATCCTCTGCAAAATACCATTGGTGAAAACCTCATGCTATCATAGACTCTCACCTGTCTTTGTGATGTCTCGTCCTCAAACAATTTTCTGGAGGAAAACAAACAACGGGCAAAGAAAGACCGGGTGCCGTGGCTGATCTCCATGCTCTTTGACGGCGTCTGCTAAACTGCGAATGGCATAAACTGTGCAGCTCAGGCGCATCGCATCGGTCTTGAACTATCCAGCGGCCGCCGAGTCTCAACCATGCCGCCTTGAGACGGGGCCGGTACTCATCATCAAGCCACCGAAAACGCCTCTCGCTCCGAGCAGCTCGCACCACCGCCCCAGCCCGGACCGCCCAGGCCGAGAGTGAGACGCACCGTTGAAGCCTCCAAGCCTGGGGCTGAGGTGGCCAGCTGCGATACTGGATTTGCATAGGTAATTCTCTTTTGCAGGATATGTACACGGGAAGAAACAAGGACGAGCGCCATGTTTGGCATCGACAGCCCATCCCACAATCCAGCACAGGCACAAGAGGTAATCTGAAGCACATTGCAGCGCATCCTGAAGGGTGAGAACATTTGCTCGGGACGTCCTTCGTTCGGAGTGGATTCCGCTCGCCTTTCTGGAGGCTAGCCGTCGTGACCTATGTCGGCCATCCCATGTTAGGCGTTGGTTGAGTGGTCCAGAAAATCCCAAAATAAATTCGTCATGTGAGGCTCCCATTGTTTCCCAGACCTTGTGGGCCAGCCTACCAGGTGCATGAAGATGGTGTTTCAACGTCTTTGACGTGTTTTGGTCAGCCCATGGAGGGTGGCTTACCGGGACTTGATCCGCGGCTGTGGATTGGATATCCAGCCAGGACTTAGTTCGCAGGGAATTAGGTTTTGTGTCCATGGAGCTAGACATGACGGTACCTATGCCCTTCAACGGGCGGTCGGTAGCCGTGTGCCCGGACAGACTGACAGCGACAGTTGCAGGGTGAGCGTCGTCCTTGATAGCGGTGTGTAGGCGCAAGAGACCCTGAAGAGACTCGACAGCAGAGTCAGAAGAGACCGGGATGGCAGTGCGAGGCTGCACGGCGCATGTCCTGTCTGCGGCGTAAGAGCAGGGTAGTTCCGTGCATTGGAGCATCGAAACAACAGACGGATGGGAGACGCTCATGCGGTTGTCTGAGAACCCATCCACCGATCTCGTCTGCGTATGTGGGTGAGTGAGTCTGTCGGTCGGGCGGCTTGAATTGCTGACGGGCAGCATAGCACAGTGGTGTCTGGAGAGCGAGGGGGGCATATGTTTGTATCCCTCCTAGCAGCCGGCAGCGCAAGATGTGGTCAAAGTTTGCTAAGAGAAGACGCCTTGCGATATGTGCAGCAGGATATACGGCGGGCGAAGGGGGGAAGGCCCGAAGAGTGCAGACACGACCGGATGGCTGTGCTTGAAGGCGCCTGGCGCACCGTTAGTTTCAATGTTGGGAGGAGACCAACCGCGATGGACTGATTGCGACTGCAGCGGCAGTTGTCGATTGATGCAGGCCGGTCAGGTCTTGTTCGGGTCTTGGCCGAGATGGCGATGCGCATCGAGGTCAGTTTGTCGAATGCAACCCCCAAGATAGGGAATATGCGGCATCAAGTACGGACTGCGGAGGATGTAAAAGGGTTGGTCAGGATGTCTTTGCTCAGAGGGCAGGAGGGGGTCATGGAGATTTTGGCTTTGAGAGCGCAGGAAGGAACCCTTCTTTCTTGGTGCCTTCCCGAGACTCCCCAAGTGTCTTATCGGAGCACAGACCGGTGCGTTAGCTAAGCCGAGATGGCTTATCTGTACCTTCTCAGGTCCCAATGTGCTCCGTACCTTCCTCACCTTACCTTAGTACCTAAGGTACCTTACGCTGAAGTTGTTTCCAGATTCCCTTAATGTAGGGTACCTACCTCTCCAGCTTGTTTTATTTTCTTTTTTGAAAGATATCAAGGTGCTCTGCAGTCCATCTTGACTGATTACCTAACTTGCCGAACAGCTCACCGTATGATATTGCCATCTCCATGTCTCCTGCTGAACTTGACTGAGCAATACGAATCATGTTGGGCGCAAGTGGCCTGAGGGGTTTGGACCATCAAGTGGGCAGTCGGCTCATTGTGCAGAGCAACCATGGATGATCGATTTCTACAGCGGGGGGACAAAGGGCCCGGCAGGCATGTCGTGCAACGAGTACCTTGCAGACGCAATGGAGGCATGGCAATCAACCCGACACCGGCTTGAAGGCGCTCGAGCATATGAAGACTGTGTAATTTCACATACAGCTTGATGGTTGTGATTTGTTGTTTTAGAGATGTCTGCAATCGGCTCAAGACAGCGTTGGATTACGACTTCTGTACGGTATAGACTGCGGAGTACCTTATATCGTTGATACGATGCTTGTTAATGGATGATGTACTTGCCCGTCCCCAGGAAAGGCCCGTTTCCTCCATGCTCGTCATCCAGGGCATAACAATGACAGCCGTCGGAAAACAAGACGCAGGAAGCGGGACACGGGACGGGCAGAATGGAGGATCTGCTCAAGACAGTAGTTAGTCAACAATCCTCCTCAATCCGTATAGTTTGGACAGTGAGTTTTCAGGAAAATGTGTATCATTGAGTCTGCATGTGCTAGAGTCTGCCCCCGGTCTATCCGTACCCTCCATTACAAGTTTCCCCTATCTTTGTTCCATCAACCTTCTCGAACAATGCAGTGCCGGCCAAGTAGATTTACGGATGTGTTCAGGTCTTGTGTTCCTCTGCCTCGTGCTCAATAAACCCCCTCCTCTTTGTCAGTCCGAGTGCCCTCCTTCTTGTATGCCTCAAGACTTGTCCACTCCTTGTCTCCAAGGATCTACGGTGTGGACGGTCGCTCTGTCCGTGATAGAGATCTCGATATTTCTCTGTGATGCTGCAGAGTTGTTGAGAGCACAGATGCTGATTCCTGATAGAGGTCTTCCTGGCCAGTGACGCACCCAAGATGTCCCCATTCCCATCCTAATCAATTGTTCCTTCCTTCCCCGTCGAGGCTTGCCCTGTAATACGTATGTACGTACTCTCGCGCCTGAAGGCTGAAGGCTGATGGGATCGCAATACGTACCGGGCGCGCACCACGAGGGCAGGTTCAATCAATGGGAGACGTGAATCTGTCCACTGCGACGGGAGACCAAGCCCAATCTGGACTAGCGCAATCACCCGCTAATTTGAAACGCCCAAAACCTCCATCAGATCAATGCGGCCAACCTGAGGCCGCCTCTCCACCACAGTACCGCGCAGTTGTACCTCCGCTCCCACTTGTGCCTCTTTCTCTCTCTCTCTCTTTTCGCCGGGCGTCTCTCTGCCTTTCCTTCACCGCGGTAGGCTCAAAGACTCAAAGGACGTGGTTCCGAATCTGTCATCCTCAGACCTCTCAGCCCAACCAACCCATTCCCACTCACACAACATCCGCCCACCACCACTATCCCACCATTCGTACCCATCACCCCCTTGCTCCTGCTGCCAATACCTTACTCTAGGGGCCCAGGCAATCAGCAGAGCACGGGCGACGAGACACTGCACCACATTGGACCGCAACAGCAACTGGAGCTAGGAACTGGGGACTGGAAACCCGACCTGGCTGGCCTGACCTGGATCTTTCCCAAGCACCCAAGCAAGTTGAAGCAACCACAGAGACTCAGGCGCTTCCACTCTCTGTATCCTCAGATCCTAAGGGTACGGATAGTCTCCCCCCCCCCCCCCCCCCCCCCCCCTCCCCTCTCCCCCCCCCCCTGCGCCCCCCCCCCCCCCCCCCCCCCCCCCTCCTTCCCCCCCCCCCCCCGCCCCCACCCCCCCCCCCCACCCCCGCCCCCCCCCCCCCCCCCCTCTGTCTTTGCCTTTGCGGCTTGCCTGTGCCTGTGCCTCTCGCCTTACCCCCTAAACCTTTGCTTTACGTTCCCCCATGCTACCGTTCACTACCTAGTACCTAACCCAGCCCCCCTCCAGGTTGAATCAAGACACACCCTCATGCACGCCAACTGCATCAGCCTGCGTCCTGCAACAGCGTCCCCAAATCCAGCGACAACTCCAACCTCGACTTGCAATTCTCTGTCGGCAACCTAGCACTACTCAATCGACACTCCCAAACGATATCCATTTCGCAATACCTCTTGGCCCACGAAGGCTTGTTCGAGATACACGCTATCGCCCACCACTAGTGACACCTAATAGGAGGATCAAGGACCGGACAGGGGTCAAAAAGGCAACTTGTTTCGCCCCGATAGCCCGCATCGCTCCGCACCGCTCCGCAACTTCGACTCGTCGACTCGAAAAACAGACCCGCCCAACCAGCCCAACCTCCCTCCTCCACCGACTCTCGGCGCCGGCACTTCTGTCTCACACACACATACTGCCTTCTATCTCTCTCTCTCGCATACGCACACGCAAACCCCGTACACGAAGACGTCCCTATTCCTTCTCGTTATCCGCCTGTTCCAAGTCCGGCAAAACACATAGAGGGGGGCCCTATTCGATCACCACAAGGGGGGGAAATACTAGAGTCCGAACGCCCATCGCTCAAACCCCTTGTTCTCATTTTCGCCCTCCAAGAACAAACCTACCCTTCTCCCGACGACGCCCATCGCCCACGAGAACCTTCCCCGACGCCCACCGCTACATTGTCGCTGCTCCGCCCAAGCACCGATATCCTGAACCCGAGTCCACTCGACCAGACCGACTCTCGAGAACCCCGGTGCCGAATGACGTGACCCTGTCTTCGACAAAGGACCACGAACCGCTTCATCGATCCTCCACCGCCTCGCCCCTCGGTCCTCGCACGATCCCCGATCCTCTTCGTTGCCGTCGTCGTTGTAGTCGACCGTCGTGTCCTTCCATCCTCTCCCCTCCATTCACCGGATGGGTTAGGACGTCATGGCTCATGCTCCTCTCCTAAGAACAAACACGGCTCCTGTATTCCAGCAATCCAACGGAATCGGCGGCCTACCCAATACCATGAGTAATGCGCCCCGCGCCAGCCAGCTTTCCGGCTCGACAGCGTACACATCCACTGGCTCTTTCGCCTCCTTCAACAGCGCATCCACGGTGACGCCCCCGCAAAATGGAGGTCCCGTTCAGGCTACGGCCAACATCATCAACCAAAAGGCCGATGCCTCGCGGTCCCTTTACCAGATTTGCATGTCGTTGAAGCAGCGATTATCACAGGTACCTGGCTTCGACCCCTATCTGCAAGAGCTCGACCCCAACGACCCTGTCGAATCACTGTGGGCCCTGTTCCGCACCGGTTATCCGCTACTCGACATTTACAACGCCCTGCAACCAGAAAAGCCCCTCGAGATCGAAGGCGCAAACGCCAGTGCCAGCGACAGCAAAAAGGCAAAAATTGCCCTCTTCAAATTCATTCAGGCGTGTCTAAAGGATTTGGGTATACCCTCGGCGGAATGCTTCGTCATCAGCGACGTACTAGGAAATGACACGACTGGTTTTGTCAAGGTATGCGACGCGACTGCTGTCTCTCCTCCACGGTGACCTCTGATTCAAGATCACCATCAATCATGTAAATTGAAAATGACCAAATCTGACCTCGTCCTAGACAACTCAAGTCGTCAACTACGTTCTCGACATCGCTGAGCAACGGGGTCTCTTGTTGCAACTCCAGCCTTATCCCGAAGATGATCTTCCTATGGAACCAGGCTCCAAGCTGAGCTACCGGGATCATATCGTGAAGGAACTGGTAGACACGGAGCGAAAATACGTCCAAGATTTGGAGAACCTCTACGACCTGAAAAGTAGCTTGGAGACTAAGGGAATAATCACTGGCGACACCATTCATCAGATTTTCCTCAACATCAACGCTATCCTGGATTTCCAACGCCGTTTCCTGATCCGTGTCGAGACGACAAACTCCATGCCCAAGACTGTACAGCATTGGGGTGCTCCATTTGTCACATACGAAGATGCATTCGACATCTACCGTCCCTTCATCGCCAATCAGCGCAAAGCAGCCCAAGTCGCCAATCAAGTCTTTGACCAGATCAAAGCGAGCGGGCATCCCGTGGCCGCAGACTTCAACACTTTGGATGGCTTCCTCCTCAAGCCCATGCAGCGTCTCGTCAAGTACCCTCTGTTGTTGAAGGACTTGATGAAAAAGAGCGAGGACGAGGATATTAAGGCCGATCTGGCAGGCGGTATCGAGTCCGCAGAACGAGTTTTGTCAAAGGCCAACGAAGAAGTCAACCGAGATTTGTTGGACGAGGCTCTGGACGACTTGCGAAACCGCGTCGACGACTGGAAGAATCATCGCGTGGAGCAGTTCGGCAGGCTGCTGATGCATGGTGTTTACACTGTCGTCACAGGGAAGAGCGAGCAAGAAAAGGACGTAAGTTTTGCTCTACAAATTTGCCATCCCCAACCAGGACCAAACACTGATTTTCGTAGTACGAGATTTATCTCTTCGAATGCATACTACTTTGCTGCAAGGAAATTTCGGCGAACAAGAGCAGGGACAAGAAGGACAAGACTAGGTCTACAGGGCCCAAGATCAGGAACAAGAATGCGAGACTTCAATTGAAGGGCAGGATCTTCATGACGAACGTTACTGACATCGTCTCCCTCGCAAAGCCTGGTATGGAAAGGAAGTAACCCTAGTCCTAACCCTCGATTGCTAACCAATTCACAGGATCCTACATTGTCCAAATCTGGTGGAAAGGCGATCCTGGCGTGGAGAACTTCATGATCAAGTACACCAATGAGGAGCAGATGAAGAAATGGGCAGTCGCTCTTGAGGCGCAACGTAAGGAAAACACGCCCAACAAATCTGCTACGAGTCCCGACTCGGCGGCACCCGACTTTGCCTGGACACGAGAAAACGCTGGCAAGCTCGAGAACCCGTATCTTAACCAGCAAGACGATGACGATGACGAGGAACTGTGGCCACCCGCCTCTGCCCCTGCCCAGTTTCCCATGCCGACTCAGTCTACAGGAGGCAGCATGTTGCCTCGCAACGCATCGAGCACAAGCCTGCGACAACGCGCCGCAACTAATGAGAGCCTTGCCGGTATGGTGAGGGCTCCGCCTCCTAGATTCCCTCTGCCGCAACCACCGGCGCCTCTCAGTCTTTCGACCCAGGTGCCTGCTCCGGGTGCCTCTTCACCTGGTGCCCGCGGCGGCGACTCTTACTTTTCACCCGTAGCCGATTCGCCTGTTTCCTCGCGCACGAGCACCGCCAGCAATATGTTCCCTAATCCAGCATATCAATTCCCCAAGTCGCTGACCCCTCAGCCTGGGTGGGAAGATCCCAATCAGAGATACACGGCCCCCGCAATGCCTCGAGCTCCTTCGAGAGATGGTTCTTCGCAGCACAGGAATCCTCGCGGACCATCTTTGCCGGCAATGGCTTCCAACAGTCAGACTGCAGCACAGCAGCAGCGCAGCAGATCGTACAGCACTCCTGATATCAACGCCCCCGGGAACATTCGTCGCACTCAAGGGGGCACTCCTGTTCCGGCGGTGCCTGGCATCCCGGCGCATCTACACCCAGCCCACGACCAGAATATCCCGCGGTCGCAGACCGGCTCGCCCAGGGTAAATGACGTTCCCATCAGATCAAACACGCAGAGCCCGGGCGCTCAGCGAGAACGCCAGTACGGCCACCAGCAATCTGGAAGTTACGGTGGCACCATGTCCCAGTTCCCCGCTCAGCCAATCTATCCCCGCCAGGGAACGCCAAACTCTGTCCATGACCGGCAGCTCAGCATTGATGCGGCTGCGTCTATGAATGCCATGTTGTCTCCTCCCCTTGGCACTGGCGGGATCAGCGGATCTCAGTCAAACCCGCTTGCCAGCCCCGACCTACCGATTCCCACGCAGTTGAAGGTCAAGGTGAACTTTGTCGACAGCGGCAACTACGTCACACTGGTTGTTGCATTCAACATCACATACCAGTCTTTAATTGACCGCATCGACGCCAAACTTGCGCGGTTCACCAACAGCAGTATCAGCAAGGGCATGCTTAAGCTCCGATACCAGGACGAGGATGGCGACTTTGTCACTATTGCCAGTGATGATGACATTCAGATCGCCTTTATCGAATGGCGCGAGGGAGCCCGCGCCACTGCGCCGGGAGGGGTAGGCGAGATTGAGCTGTTCTGCGTTGGAGAAACGGCCTAAGCGCCTCATTTCTATGTCGAAGTAGGTCTTTTGGGAGAACATTGGGACTCTCCCAGGCGCATCATACCCATATACCCACCGGAGGGCATTTCTTTGCATACATGGCGTCCGGAGCAGTTTATTTCACCTCATTTTATACCTCTCAGCATCGCATCAACAAGCACGTGGCTGCTAGACTACCATACATCACGGGGTTCGTAGCGGCAGCCATTTGCGGTTAAGAAGCATTCGGACTCGCGCACGAGAATTTAGACGGTTCCATCACGACCACATATTTCCTTGCCCTCAAGGACACGGCCCCCTATGCAGGGGTTGTATTCAAAGGCACTCATTCACCGGATCGCTCCTTTTCTTCTTTTTGGAAATACTTGACATCAAACTACCCTGGGCAACTCTGGATGTTGCTTGCATACGTCTCTATGGGGTTCTTCGATATCGAACTCTTCAGAGCAGATACATCCAGGGCTCCCATCATTTCACTTTCACTTCTTCTCTTGGTTGATTACTCTTTCTGGGATGACTAACCTACTTTCAATCGTTACGACTTTGATGATGGGGGACGAATTGTGATATCTGGCTTTTGCCTAAATGGTTGGGTGCGGTTTGGCTGGGTGGCAACTGAGCTGCCATCAGCCAGGAGGGAATGAGAATGCCTGCCATGTCGCTCGTTACAGTTTTGGGGATCGGGTTCTTGACTGGCGCTAGCTAAAGGTTATTCGAACAATGAACAGGCGTTACTGTTCCTTCATGATGATGTCGAGCCTCCCTTGCTTGGTGACGTTTGTTTGCTTGTCTTCCATCGTCATTACTAGGTGTTGAAATCTGTGGAATCTGTGATTTGTGATGTGTGGTTTGATATACTTCATGGACGATGATGATCCCAGCTTACGTGGTCCACACGAATAAGCGACGCTTAGACAGAGATATCTGCCTGCCTCTGTAGTGATTGTTGATGTTTGGCTGGATTGTTTTCAATTCCTCCCCTAGTCTTCATGGCTAACCATTATCTTTTCTGCATGTCCTTGTCACGCAGGAAAACTGAGTGGGCCTCTAGTTCCTTGGATGGAGGAGTCTATAAATTCTAGTGCCCTGCTGTGATTCATGATGGATTGGTCGATCGTCTTCCCTAGGTTGTGACATGGTGCTTCTGTACATGTTGATAGAATGGACCCCCGGAAGGGATAGTTGCACCATGTTGCACTATCAACAACTTTTTTCTCTCGCATTATTTTCTTGGGTTGACGATAATAAGATGTTTTCTGCGATCGCACTCCTACCATCCGCGGCGTAGCCTGATCAGGTCTACATATGATCTATATTTGTTTACATATCGCCTCGTGACGGGGGCGAAGACCACAATGACCCGGACATCCTGATCTGTAGGTACCTCGGGTTTCTCGAGGGTACGGCGAGGGGACAAGGAGAATGGGGAAACAAGATACAGCCTCTCCGTAGGGAGTAAAGAAACAGTATAATTTAGCAATAGATCAACGACAGCGCGAGGGAAAGTAGGACTCCTCCCAGTAGCCGGTCCTTTCACGACTAAGTCCAACAAGTACCTTACTAAAGAATACCTTATAATAGGAAACAGGGGGTCACTGGACGCTCCTACCCGGACCAGGGCAGCGTGCCCGTCAGCCAACCAGGGCAACTTTGAGGGCGAGAGAGTAGGTACTTATGTGTCTCCTTCTTCATTCCTATCACTCAAGTGATTCGGGTCAGTTGGTCGAGGGGTTCTTGGGGGAAGACCCGAGTGTGGATCTCAGTCCTCTTGGCTACTGATACGACACTTGAGCTTTTTGTTCGATTCTTCATGGAGGAGCTCTTCTTTTTTTTTCCCTTTTATATTTACGGGCTTCCTAATTTTACCTGCCTCCTTCCCTCCTTCTGGCATATTCATTTGGGAGAACGCTGACCGCCCGCGGTCCCCGGTCACCTGACCTTTCACCTTCTCACCTCCCCCTGGGCAACCATGAAGGTATATGTTACTACTCAATGGTCATTCTGTCACTTGAGTGATTCGGGTGAGGTGGTCGAGGGGTTCATGGGGGAAGACCCGAGTGTGGATCTCAGTCCCCTCGACCATTCATCTGACACTCAAGTTTTTGGTTCGATTCCTCGTGGAGGACTTTTTCTTTTGTATATTTTGGGCTTCATTAATGGCCTCCCTGACATCACCTAAGGGCGTGGCACGGAGGATACGTCCATCGGGTTTCATCTTCTTCTAACTCTCCTTTCGCCAAACCGTTCGATAGAAGGCGCCCATCCACGACTTCTGGTCACCTGACCGTCCTTTGTCTGCCGTAGACAGCAGAGCTTACATATAGGACCTCCAATAATATGCCTTCTACCACCACAGCAGCGCCTGTTGGGGTTGGGTCAAACGGTTTGCGAGGTGGTTGAGTGGTTGATGTAACAAATTAGTCAGTGAATCCCGCAGGCGTATCGAATAAATGGAAGGTTGGTGCTTTAATTGGCTAGTTTGGGTGTTTTCTCCTCACGACTTGGGAACTTCCCATGGTAGCACGCGTGTAATGTCTAGGTTTTGTGTCTATGAAATGGAATAATCGCCCTCGCCATTTGGTTAAGCAGTGGCATATTAGCCTCATGACGGTAGTACCTACTTAATGGACTCCCTTACAGAGTGTTCTGATCAAACTACCTTCGCGTGTCCAAGGCCTTTGGTATCTGAGTGCTTCATGAATTAAATCACAGCAAGTGATGGCGCTCTTTGTTGCGTTATGAAGGACACTGGTGTCGAAAGCGAGGCTGTGACGATAAACTCATGATTCTGATGCGGGTATGCTTTGAACAGAGGTATCAAGGCCCTCGTTGTACGCGTTCCTATGTATTGCGAGAGATTCGAGGTTGAGAGACGGGAATGCAGGCTCTTGATATTGATGGATATCCGTAAATGTCTTTCCACACCGATTGACTACGTTGAGTACCTTCAAAGATCCCTGGCAAAAATTGCCACGTCTCAGAGATGCCAGTCACGAGGATTATGCAAACGATGTACAACTGCTCCGGCTATACATCAGGTTAGGTCATGATCCACGGCTGGTCGTCGAGTTAGTTCTGCCCGGCGAGTGGAGGTAAGTGTGGCCGAAAACCGTCGACTCATCAGATCAGGTCGCAGATGAAGGGAGTCTGCAGGAATTGAAACGTGATGGTAGCGAGTATTCTTCTTTATCCGCCTTGTATGGTACATAGTATACAACGTCGATCCTCTTGAACGCCAAATTCCGTGTGTAATAGTATGGTTGTACATCTCATATGCCACAAGCTGTGCTCGATTCACCACTTCCAGACGGATCAGATAACCGTCATCGGCCGAATCCGCCTCTGCTGCTGCCATGGTCGGTTCAGCTGTCGTGAACGTAGCGCCATCGCCCTCGCGGTCTTTCCCGGAGTGTGCCATTCGGGGAAGACCTCCATCTCCATATGGTCGCCCTGGTCGCCCCCTCCATATTTGCAATAAGTTCGGTGTATGAGCTCCGTCTCCGCCGCGCGACCTGCTTTATTTGCCCTTGGAGTGGGGAATCATCTTGTCGTACATACGGCCGAGGTGGTAGTTGACGGTGGACGAAGGCTCCTTGGGCTTCTTGGGCTGATCCATGCAGCCGCGCAGGGCGTTCTCGAGGGCGGCGCAGCCAGAGGTGTTGTACCCTGCTGAGGCCCAGCATGCTGTAGGAGAAGAAGTGTCAGTCCATGTAGCGCAAGGGGTATGATGATGAAGACGCTGCGATGCCGTCCAGGGGTTGTTCATCTGGTGGCTGGGATGAGGCAATTCCATCGAGACAGGAGAATATGCCAGAGAGGAAATTGACGAGCGAACACAGGGTAGGTAGAATTACCAAGAACTGAGGTCATGACCTGCATGCAAGGCTGCTCTACCTTGCCGTTGGGGTTACGAACACGGAGGACCTTGACAGGTGGCAGGCGCATCGGTTTTTGCGGCATGATGGGCAATGTGCGTGTATCTCAACCGGTCAATTATGTCGTCGGGTCGTTTTGAAAGCTGTGTAAGCTATGCGCCTGTCGTTGAATCGTCGGATTCGGTTGTCGAATGGTGGATCTTTGCGTCCGTCGTCATACACCTCTACCAGGAAAGCTCCCCGATGCTTCGCAAATGGACGCCATCGCGAAAGCTTTGATGCGAGACCCCCGGAACTTTTTTTCACCAATCACGTGTCTTCAGCCTCGTCGATCCCTTGCAACGTTGCTGATTGGCCAAAAACGCGCTGTGGCGTCTGGATGGTGGGGCAAGACACGGTAGCCAGACAGCCGTGCCACCGTGCACAGCGCGCCTGGGATGCCCCCAGAGCTGCGACTGCAAGCGGCACTTCAATTGTGTGAGGGTGTGTGAGGGCCTCGGGAGCTCCCGATTGGCTGCCTTGCCTCGAATGTAAACAAAGGGCGACCTCGAAAGCGTCCCTTCTCTGCGTTGCCCGTTGCCAGCCCACCACACCGATTTTCACTTAATGGTCCCCTTCCTGCGCAATATCTGCCCTCCTACTCCCCCTTCCCGGTTCTCGATTTAGAAACCTGGAGGTACCTTGAACCTTTTTTCTTCTTTCCCCAATCCATCCTCCAATTTCCGCGCCCAGGAACCACAACCCAATCGCGACACAAGCCGATACCTCACCCAATTCAGGGTATCGTACTCTAACAACCCACGACACAGTCAACACTGCACTACAATCGTCATTCGGATTCTTCTGAGCCGTTTCCTGGCTTTTCAATCCGGTGGTTGTTCTGCGTCCCATCTCCCTCCCCCCTGCGAAGTCGCGCTTTGTTTATCTTCTTTTTTCCGCCCCCAAATCGCATCGCGCCTCCGCGGCCACTTTTCCCACGATCACGTCCGAGAGCCTTCTCCGCGCCGCGTCGCATTGAAGCCATAGCTCCCGCGCTAGATCCCTCCAACACACTTTAACCTCGTCATCCGGTCATCTGGTCAATGTCTCGCAGTCGCCGCCACGATACGGATACGCGATGAATTTTCCAAAGTTGACCTTTAACCCGCCCTCGGGCAACCTCACACCCTCCCCTACCGCGCGCTCCTCCCGCGACCGCACCGCCAGCCCTAAGAGGGCGCCGGCCGGTTTCTCGAATCTTGAGCCCACTCAGGACCGTACCGCTAATGTCGATATGGCCTTCTCTAACTTCGACTTCACCACGCCAACCAAGGGAGGCGGCGCACCCATTTCCGCGGCCACAACACAGCCCGCAAGATTCGCTCCGATGTCTTTCACTTCGCCAGTCAAGAAGTTCAGCACAGCTGAGACCCCGAGACTGAAGGCCGGCGCTTCAAGACTTTCATCGACAATGCCGCTAGATGCCCCGACCAAGACCCCATCCCCGAAGAAGGTGTCATTTGCCGACGCCAGTTTCCAATCCTTGACTGCGTCAACTCCCAAGCTGGCTCGCAATCTCTCTCCGAAGTCGAGTCCTTCGAAGCCTGCCGTCTCCGACTACTCAGTCATGTCAATTACCTCTCCGACAGCATCCCTCGTCTCCAACGATCGGTCCCCGCGCAGCGATTCCGATTCGAATCAACAGCAGGCCGAGTCCGCGGCAGAGGAGGAGGGACATGAGGACGACGATGAGGAGGAGTCTCAAACAAGCAGCAGGCCCGGCCAGTCGCCCCCAAGAGGTGTAGAGGAGGCTGGCGGGTTCGAGTCCCCTTCAAAGCTCGACATCACTATGGCCGATATCACCATGGTTTCTGACTTCGCCCCGTCGCCCAAGAAGTCTCAGCAGCCGTACACGTTCGCCACTATCGAACTTTCGGAAGCTGCAAAGGAGTTCTCGTATGCCTACCACCTTCCCATTTGTATACTCCCTCACTGACTTGTTCTCTCTAGTACCCCCTTCGACCCCGAGAGCTACGCCGATTTCGATATCACGTCTGCGCTCACCCCAGTGCCCAGCTTCGCCCGGCAACGGGCCCGTATTCCCCTCACAAAGCACCGGAAGCCCAGGGGCATTGTGTTCGAGAAGGCCATCGCAAGACAAGTTGCCGAGTCCCTCGCCTTGGAAGAGCTCGAGGCCGCCGCCAGCTTCCGGCACATTGCCATGAAGGGCGGTCTGGCGTATGCCCTCTGTCCTCGAAAGAGGCAGAGGGTGGCCGAGCCCACGACAGAGGACGACCGGGAGCCGTACTGGCTGGAGGATGTGGACGAAAGCGGCGTGATTAACATGATCGAAGCTCGCCGCGTCCTGCGCAACGACCTGAAGGCGCTTCCTGCCGGCCTCTCTGTTCACGAACAGCGCCGCCAATACCACGAGGAGGTGGAGAAGTACGGCGAACCCATCGTGCCGACCTGTGGGAAGAGGAACTATGACGGTGAGAAGAAGCGAGCCTATAACAATGGCCTGCTGACTCACACCATCATGGCGCCTCTTCTTGCGTTCCCGATGCCAGAGCTGAGCTTCGACTGGGTGCTTGAGACTGCCATTCGCGAATCCAATAGGGTTCATGGTCGCGAGCAGCCCAAGCATCGCAACGTCAGGCAGCCCATTGCCATCTTTGGAGAGTCTGACTTCTCAGTCATTGAAGAAGAGGAGGAGCCTCAAAGCCCGACCGCTAAGCTCCCTCACTTCCCGTCGACGGCGACACACCACTCGAGCTCAAGCCGAAAGACCAGGCTCGCTAGAGGCGCTGCCAATCTGGAGGCTAAGCTCGCCACGCTCCAATCTGTTATGGAAGAAAGGTCGCCTTCACCTTTGTCATCCCCCGTCCGACCCGGCTTCACCTTTGCAATGCCCTCGTTTGTATCGACTCTCGAGGTCACCGAGACGGACCACGAGGCAACTGAGGTTGAACACGAGGATGAGCCCGCTGCCGTCGAAGTCGCGAGTCCAATGGTCTTCTTCAAGAACCGCAACGAGACTTCGCCCTTCAAGAAGCGCAAGTCATTGCCTACTGCACGTCGTCTTTCCTTTTCCGCCCCTCTCCGCCGAGCATCTCTTCCTGCTGCCGGCTCCGCCCAGCTTCCTGTGGTGCAGGATCTTCAAGATCCAGCATCCGGGTCGCTGGTGGGTGCTCCCGATTCGTCGGTTGAGCTCCACGCGGTGCAGAATCCCCTCGAGGTTGATTCAGCATCTGCGGCAGCTGCCCAAGCTACTCCAGAGAGAACCCCGCCACCATCTCCTTTGCCAGTTGTTGTCGATGCCAGAGAGAACCCGGACATCTTTGGCTCCTTCCAGGACCACTCTGGATCCCCGATCCAGGCGCTTGCATCTCTCGCTCGCGTGTTTGAGGAGGCCAAGAAGACGGATATGGATGGAAAGGTTGTTGTCAGCAGAGAGGGAGGCCGTCTGATTGTCCGATTTAAGGTTTCGGACGAACATGCTGCCCTCTTCGCCCAAGAGCAAGAACCCGTCGAAGAGCTTGTCGACGCTGTTGACTCTGCCACCGAGCCGGCCACTGCTACCGCGTTATCGCCTATTCGCCTGACCACTGAGGCAGAGGATGAGAAGAAGACAGCAGAGGAAGCCAAGATCGAAGCGGAGGAAGAGGAGGTGGCGCATGTGCCTTCACAGGCGCCCGCCCCGGTTGAGGAAGACGACGATTCTATGGTCTTACTTAGGGGGTTTTTGACCAGACACAACGCTAGGAAAGCTGCTATGGCTACTCTCCCCGTGCCCGTCGAGCCCGCCGAACCCGCGGTTCTTTCTCCCACTCCAGCGGTTGAACCTGTTGCTGCACACTCTTCGCCCGACCCTCTTGCATCCGCCCCGATCCTTCTGGCGGCCACTCCAGAGCGCAATCAAAGCATCTGGGCCGATACGCCGGCGTTCTCGATCACGTCGTCGGCAGATCGTTCTCGTCCTCCTAGAAGGGCTTCTCCAGCTGTGTCAACCGGACGCCAGCCTCTTGGATCGCTCGACGTTAACAGCCCGAGCCCCAAGAAAGCCAAGCGCAAAGCTGAGGAAGTCGACGAACGAGAGGCATCGCCAGAAAAGCCGCAGCCGCCGAAACGCCAGCGCAGAGCCAAGGCTGACGTTTCAGACGCGAAGAAGGCCGCAGGCAAGGCCAGCGACAATTCCGCCGATGAGGATGAAGTTGCGCCTGTCACGAATGTGCGCACCAGACGTCAGCTCGCCGTCGCGCGTGGAGAGGCTCCGGCAGTTACCAAGATCCCGGTTAGAAACAAGGGAATGAGTAACATTAGAGCTGGGGAGAAGGACCTTGCGGCTTTGACTCGCCAGAATACCCGCAACAATAAGGGAGATGCGATTTCTGCTGAGGAGATGCTCGAGGCGATCAAGACTGCGCCGCCCAAGATAGAGACTCGGGCGGCCGCTGCTGCTGCTAAGAAGAACAATAAGAGTGTTCAGTGGGCAGCTCAGTTGGCTAGAAGCCAGTCCGAAGACCCGTCTACGGCTCCAATTGATTCTGACGAGGCAAGCTCTAGCTCTGCTGAGCTCAGCCCCGATGAGGAGAAGCAGGTCGGAAAGGCGAGAAAGGTCAGGGCTTCTACAAGTAAGATCGCTACGACCAAGGCTTCAACCGCCAAAGCTTCGACCTCCAAGGCTGCGACTACGAAGACTGCGACGACCAAGACCGCGCCTGCCAAAGCGACCGCAGCCAAGGCAACCAAGGCAAGCCAGTCCAAGTTGGCTACTGCCCCCAAGACGGAGGGCGCGAAGGTGTCGAAGACTGCGAAGAAGCCCACTGCCGCGGCGAAGAAGGAGCTGGGCCTGAGTGCCAACGGTACTCCTGCCAAGCGTAGTGCTCGTACCACGAAGAAGTGAGCACTTGCCGAATGAGCATAATTGGCTTCGCCGTTTGAAGGAAAGAATCATGGATGGAGGAATTGCATGGAAGGGGAGGAACGAACGGCATTCGCATCGCATGGGGGACTTCAAAAAGTAAAGCATAGCTATGGGCGTTTGGGACTGTTTGATATTTTTTGTTGGTCTTTTCTTGACCTTTGTTTGCATCATGGCCGCCCGGCGAGGCGAGTGTTTCGATTCTTGTTCTACTCCTGTTCTATACCCTATTGCTTCGTTGCGGACAGAGGCGGATGGGACTTTTATTATTATGAATGATGATGATGAACTTGAAATAATTCTAGAATCACTCGTGTTGAGTATTTATGTGACGCGCATTGGGGTGTTTACTGACACACCGCATGTGGTCGCAAACGTCGCCTTGACTCCGAATGTGGTGTCTGCTCTGCGATACCGTAGACCGGGAACTCGGATCAGGGCCCAAACGGGTCAAGACCCTTATTCACTGTGCAGGGGAAAAAGAGGGGTAGCAACGCCGAACATGCATGGCAATGCCGGTCCCAAGTTCCATTGGACTGGATTCTACGCATTTTGCTGGAAACGCTGGGTTATCTCGGCGGATGCCCTGCAATTCGATGTGAGCGGTGGGAAAACGGGATGCGGGCTAGCGAATCCCACGGGAGGACGTTTGACTCTTCTGCATCCGGGCGGTTTGTCGGGTCTGTAAGACTGGCTGCGGTCCATTCAGGCCTGCCATGCTTGTCCTTTGGTCCAAGTACGGATAAGGTTCCCTGCTGTGAGATGGACCCCTCAGCAAGCCACACATTGGCAGAGACATGGAAGGGAAGGGGGACCTGGAAACGGGCAGATACAAAAACTGGAGCTCCCCTACCTTACCTTTCAGACGGAGGAAGCCCAGTCTGATTGATCTTGCGCGTAGTCACGATTTATCTGCCTTGCTTAGAACAGTGATTCCGCAACACACGGGAGACTACGAGCAGCGGCGCGATTCACTAGTGTTATTCTCAACGTTTTCACATACCTACACTCATTTCATACCCGTGAGACGAAAAAGGCGCACATCATGGCTGAAGCACCGGGCACACCGCCTCCCACAACCGCACCCGCAGCCGGTGTCGCATCCGCAGACCCGGCACCGACGACGAGTCCATCGCGAGTCGTTCCGGCGGTGGCTATTGAACCAGCTCAGCAGGATGACCCCGTTGAAGCCGATGAGGGATTTGCAGTGCGTCGCAGCCCAGTTTCCCTTCTTGTAGATTGATCGGTGGTTTACTAATACTTCCGGTGTAGAGCGATAACGACTCTTCGATTGATGATAGAATGTAATGGCTTTCTGAGATTCCCACCACCCCATCTCATTCATTGCGCCTTTTTGTTCCTAACCCAGATGAACGAGATAGTTCGAGTTACACCGCGTCCCTATCATCCAGCGTCATCGACTACCCGGAAGAATATGGCCGTCGCTATCATGCATTCAGGCCGGGCTGTGAGTCTTCCTTTCCTGCAGCAATATGATGGGAATGGAGGGAGACAGCCCATGTTCAGTCCACTGACGCTTCAATGTAGCGTATTCGTTCCCGAACGACGAGGTCGAAATGGAGCGCCTCGACATGGCTCATGCCATGATGGTGAGGGCGATTGGAAGCAAGCTCTGGCTGGCCCCGCTGGCCAAGGAGAAGGTCCATCGTATCCTGGATATCGGTACGGGTACTGGAATCTGTACGTCCTATCGCGCAACTTAGTGATCGTCGAAGCCATGCGTTGCTAATCGCTTGCGGGCTGTAGGGGCCGTTGAGATTGGTGACATTTTTGAGAACGCCGAGGTGAGTTCGTGATAAGTGAGATTGGTGATGATTCGCTTTGCTAAGAGATGGGCAGGTTATTGGGAATGATCTGAGTGCTATCCAACCTGAATGGTGCGTCAAATCTCGGCATGAATCCCTCTCTGATGATTCCAAAGCTCACTCTTCTTCTCTGGACTCTAGGGTACCCCCGAACGTCAAGTTTGAGATTGACGATGTCGAGAGCGAATGGGTCGGCGTTAAAAAGTACGACTTCATCATGTGCCGCTACATGGCCGCCTCCATCCAGGACTGGCCAAAGCTGATCGCCAACATTTACGAGTACGTAACCCTGTCCCCATTCCCTCTAACTTGTCCCATCTTCATTCTCATGACCCCCTCCGCAGCAACCTCAACCCAGGAGGCTGGGCCGAGTTCCAAGATATGAGCACAGAATACTACTCCGACGACGGCAGCTACAAACCCGAACACGCAACCTACGAATGGAATCAGACCTTTGTCGAAACCCTCGACAAGATCGGGCGCGATCCCCGGCCCGGACCGAAGCTCGAGGGCTGGGTGCGCGGGCACGGCGGGTTCGAGAACGTGGCGCACCACAAGTTCAAGACGCCCATCGGGCCGTGGGCGCGGCACCGGCATTTCAAGGACCAGGGGTTGCTGAACCTGGCGCAGATTCTTGAGGGGTTGGAAGGGTTCTCGTTGAAGCTGCTGTGCGGTGTTTTGGGGAGGAGTAAGGAGGAGGTGTTGGTGCAGCTTGCGGAGGTGAGGAGGGAGTTGAAGACGGGGGTTTTTCATGCTTTGTTGGATTTGTGAGTTGTCATCCTTTCCTTGTTTCCCTTTCATTGTTCGCTGTGGACGGTGGCTCGAAGATTGATTGTGGCTAACAAGCCTTGTGCGCGTAGGCATGTGGTGTATGGGCAGAAGCCTGCTCTACCGGCTGCTACAGCGGGAACTGAGTAGGTGTGGAAGTGTCGTCTGACGTTGGGATGTGTAGCATCTCCATGGATGGCATTTAGGCCTGCAAAGTAGACTCCGTTCTTCATGGCTCATAGTATAGCGATGTAGCATTTTGATATAAAGGCTTAAATCCTACGCAGATGACGTTGTGTTTGACCTGACTGGCTCAAGCGCGTATTGATTATGCTGGAGCTGGTCTAAGTCTGACCTCTCGCCCGCTCATCTCATTTCATCTTTCAAGGATTTGACTCTCACTCGGGTTCCTCTTATTTGAGTTCCTCACAGGTGATCATCGGCTGGGTGAATGAATGAGCGAGTGAGCGCACAGTCTTCAGCCCTATGAGATGAACGGGTGGTCCCGAGTGCCAAGTTCGGACGACGCAATGGAAGCGAGTAAACGTGGAGACGGTCAAACCATCAAAATGGAACCTGGAAGCGACCAGAAAAAGCCCAGAAAAATACCCGCCATCAGCGTTCCGATCTGCCGAAACAAACGGGCAGAAAGCCAATCTGACGTGCAGTCGCACCTGCAGCCCAAGGAATCCCATTACGAATCGCCCGTCACACGGCGCGCACCTTCTTTCCCTCAGGCGCAATTCGATCCCGTCGGGAGGCCCCCTTATTTTCTTACCTCAGCCATTTTCTTTTTTTCTTTTTCTTTTTTTGCCCCCTACGGCCCAACTCACCTCACCTCCCTGACCTTGGTCACTTGACCCCGCGACGACACGTCAAATCCCCCGCCAACCACGTGCAATTCTCTCTCATCCCTCCAACTCCCAACTGTCACTACCGAAAGAAAGAGAAGAAACACAACAGCCTGGAGTGAAAAAAAATGTCGCTCTTTGGCAACTTTGACGTCGCCAAGCTGGCATCACAGCTGGGCAACTTCAAGATCCCCGACGACCCAGAGATCATCAACCAAGGTGAGTGAGCGAATGAGATACTTTGCGACAATCCTCCAACCTCAATCTGCTCTCGGCCCCTCATAATTTCGCAAGACCCCCACCTTCCTTATCTCCAAAAGCATCACAACAACGATTCCTAACCACACATCACAGGCCACCAGGACTACGGGTACAGCAACTACGGTTCCCACAGCCAAGGCTACGATGGCAGACCACCCGCGGGATACGCCGGTGGTCCGCAGAATGGCGCCGAGGAGTACAAGCGCGAGCATCCCACCGCCTTCGGCTCCAGTGACCCCACGCGATCCGCCTACTCCGACCCCGTCTCCGAGGGAAGTGCCATGTCGTCCGTCGCCGCTGGCGTAGCTGCCAGCGCCGCCGCGGGTGCTTACGGTACCGCGCCGCAGTATCCCACTCCGCATCCCGGTAGGTATGGTGATTCCACATCATCTAGCCCATATCCTCAGCAGCAGCAACAACAGCAAAGCTTTGGACGGCCTCCTTCGCCGGGCTATGGAAGGCCCCCTTCTCCTGGTTACGGCAGGCCCCCTTCACCTGGCTACGGAAGACCGCCTTCGCCGCGATTGCCAGAGGGATGGGTCAAGCGGTTTGATGACAACAGCAGACGATGGTACTACGTTAATCAAGCAACTGGCTCTTCTCAGTGGGAGGCTCCTCCGCCACCGTCGGCCATGTCTCCCCCGCCAATGTCGCCGCCAGGCCATGGAGGGTATGGGGAATCATCTCGATATGGCGGACACTCGCCACAGCCGGGATACTCGCCTCAACCTGGCTATGGAGGACATTCACCACAGCCCGGATACGGAGGCCCACCGCCTCAGCCGGGATATGGCGGACCCTCTCCACAACCTGGGTACGGAGGTCATTCTCCACAGCCCGGATACGGAGCTTATGCGGGCGGTGCCGCTGCGGCAGCTGCGGGAGCCGGAGCTGGGTACTATGCAGGACAGCAATACGGACAGAGCCAGCCCCATGGGGGGTACGAGCAGCCTCAACAGTACGGCCAACAGCCACCACAGCAGTACGGCCAGCCCTACGGACAGCAGCCTCAACAGCAGTATGGACAGCAGTATGAACAGGGATACGGCAGCGAAGAGAAGAAGAAAAAGAAGAAGAGCGGGAACAGCAACATGTTCCTCGGCGTGGCGGGTGGCCTCGCGGTGGGTGCGCTAGGAGGCGCGCTTATCGCCAATGTTTTAGGTAACGATCAGTCACCTCTCCCGGGCCACGGTCTGGACGATTATTGACCGTGAAAACTGACAATTTCCGCAGATTCCGATTCAGACTCTGATCATCACGAGCACCACTACGAGCGTCGTTCTTCGTCTGGGTCCTCGGACCATTATCGCGGTCGTGATGATAGCGATCGGGGGTCTGATAGGGGGGATTATGAGGAGGGCGGCGACTACTATGATGATTAGGTTGATCAAGTACCGCCGTCTGGGGCTCAACCGTTCCTGGACGAAGGAGATGAGCAAGAGGTCCAGGAGCAGACTTACAGGGGTCCAGAGGAGTATCGGGACGATGGCGGCGTTGATCATCTCGTGCACACCACCGGGTATGGCGAGGTTATTTATGATGATGAGCCGGGTGCTGACGAGGTTCGCAACATCGATAACTATGCTGGTGACACCTTTGATGACGGCTATGCCGATGACGGGTATGATGATGGAGGCGACGACCATAGCGGCGATGACTATGGCGATGACTACGTTGATGAGTATGGCCACGACTATTATGACAATTAGGCTGGCCGAGAATGTATCTTGACTGAGAGTTGCCTTCCATCTGGAACAATCCTGAAGCGTTTGCTACGGAGCATACATCTTACATTCTAGGCTTCGACAAATGGCATGAGATGAGGTTCTTCCACCCCCCTATGCATGTACATCTCGACCCTGAACAGTGCTAAACTCTATATGGCAATGGGTTTGATCGGGTGATATCATCCGGTCTTCTGTTTCGTGAAAGCCAAGAGATAGCAGAGAGCGACTGACAGCTTGGCAATCTCTTTTCTAGAATTGAAGCAAACCCGGCGGAGTCAGTCTGTCCTGGGCCCTGGCGCACTCATTTCGTTGCCGTCTTGACTGGGATGTGAATGGCGCACGCTCTCCAAGACGGCCTGCCCTGCCGCGTCTCGCAAGCATCACGGACCATAGAGCAGCCCTTTACTCAGTAGCGTCGCGAGGCTAGGAAGTGAGAAAGAGTATCGGCAATCAGTCCCCGACGGAAATATAAATCCACTGAGGGATGAATTTGAGTATTTGTACTCTGGAAGGCTCCATAGGCCGGGACAATGCTCGCAGAGTACTACTCTCGACGCCGTTGAACGCAAACCGCCGGCAGTTATAATCTATGGGGGTGAGCCCTGAAGCCGTGCGTCCCGCGGGATCGGACGGCACAGGGCAGTATTGCCTATGCTTATTGTGTGTTGGGCACTCGCCCCGTCTGATAATTGTTGCTGGGATGAACTTATCAATTAGAGTTTGAATAACACGTAGAACCGTGAACGTGCCCCCCAAGCCTCGTTGCGCGCGACTCAGTATGGAGTTTCCCGTTGTAGCTGGTTTCGGGTACGCGGCTTGTCCGTTTTTAAAGATCGTCACAACGGAGTACTCTGTGATCATTCTTGATACTTATAGCTGGCCTGTCATCTTTCTGTGCACGCCTTGTTGTTGGAGTATTCCTCAACTGCTGTCAGTCTCTACCTTATATAACATCCTGTCGCAAATACCCTTCTAGCGATTGATTCTGGTACATAACTACGCAAAGCAAACATGAAGTTCCAAGCCGTTCTTTTCGTCAGCTTCCTTCCCTCTGTGCTGGGCTGGTGGGTATGTTGAAACCTCGAAGGAGTCTGATGACGCACTGTAGCTGATGGATGGGTATAGAACTGCAGACTTCCTAAGGGAGGTGACCTCGGTACATGCCTTTGGGATGGCGACCTGAAGACGGAATTGACTTGTGGCCAGGTGAAGCTCTCTCTTCTACTTTTGGACATGATTCTCACCATCTTTGTCTGGTTTGAACGGGTCAAGTTGCTAATTTGTTTGTGTAATAGGGCCACCCGTGCAAGACACTTGGCAACGGATGTATCCCTATCGGATCGGGAATTGCGAACTGCTCGTAGACAAACAGAGGGTGTGCACTTTTGGATACGGAACTACCTTAGGTTCAAAAGGGGTTGCTGGATGCTGCATGTGGTCTTAGATTATCACGGTGATATTTTTGAAGAGATTCCCTCCTAAGTTCTTACTCGGATTCGGCTGCAACATTGACATCATTGATACTCAATCAATAATCCAAGTATGTGGCGAAGACAACAACAAAATGCCTATTGCCAGAAACCTCGAACACATTTTTAACTACTACGGTATCGGTACACTTCCAAGATCAACCCAGTCATCCCCGCTCAGCATGACTTCTCTCACCAAATCACCTCAATAGATGGAATCAAGTACAATTGGTAAACGTTGAAGTATCAAAATTTCGAGTGAGGGTATTCGCAGGAATTCGAGCGATAGGTTCTGGGCGGAATCCAAACGTTGGCAGTCATTAGAGCTTTCTTCCTCCCATGTTTTCGAAAATGATAGCAGAATCTAGAGGAGTCTGCGCTTCAAGACGCTGAAGTAGAGAAGTAACTAGCAAAACAACGCCAGCCTCAAGAAATGTCGAAACGTTGCTTCCTTCTGGGCCAATCAGCCCGATGACACCCTAAAAGTGCATTGGATATAAGTAGCCAAGGCCGCAAGCGTTTATCATGCGCACAAATAGCAATGGCTCATATAAACCACATGAGGTCTCCCAGATACGGTATTTGCTGCAGGGAGCTGACCATACTTATACAACGCGGCAGCTGTCACCAATGACAGGTTAGAATGCCGCGACATCACGCTTAGTATGACATGGGAACATACATTTCACACGTTCCTCTTTCACTTTCGCGAGAACTCGTAGGTACTTGATCATTGATGTATATGAACGTATCGCCTTGTACCGTCAATGCACACTTATGTATTACTAGAATCCTCTATATGTGGCCATTGGCCGTAATTCCGTCGCAGGAAGTGGGATTGGGACTGACAGATACCCCAACCACCTTATGCGATATATCATGCCAAGGCAACATCGCCTTTCCATTGTTGCCAAACACACTTTCCAAGTAGAATTCGTGTTCGTATCGAAAGGTTCTGCAAATATTTTACCGCAATTCGCCAATCAAGTGGCGGCTAATGAATATACCTACGTGTACAGCCAGCTTTGTCCACCTCCATCTTCAGAGCCTGCCGCACGGCACAGCTTGTGAATGACAGCCTGCATAACTATTGAGAGCTTCGCCCACTCGTGACGTCACAATTGCCAGGCATACTCTCGAAGTGGAATAACAATCTCGTCTTGTGAATTTGTGTCGTGAGGCGTATGAAATTGCAGCATGAATGCTGGCCGGAACCTGCTGCTTAGCTATAAAGGGCCCAGAGAACAGCTGGTTTGCCCGAGTGCAGACTGATTGTATACATACATGTACACTCGAAATCCTCCTAAAAACGCTACCTTCCCATGGATTATCTCGTCATAGGGCATCTAAACACAATTTTCCCACTACGGCGGACATTTTTAGTCGCACGGCAACATGGTTAATTGCGAAAATGATGCCGAGGACATGACCGACCCTGATATCATGGGGTTTGGGGTAAGCCTTTATCTTTCGAGGGGTTTGTCTCAGTACTAACGCAAAAAAGGTCCTGCTGTCCTTCGTTTTCCCAGTCCTAGTATCCCATGTCATCATGACCATGGCCTACGTCACTCGCAGGGCGAACCCTGAGGATTTTACCCAGATGGACTCCATGATACACAAGAGACTAGGGGCATACGAATCGAAAATTTCTCGCCTGCGTGGTGTGAGATATGAGCATCTTCTCTTGACCATCAGCGACCAGCTCTCAGTCACTAGCTTCGCGCTTCTTGTCGCATTATACTCACAAATACTCACGATTTCGTCCTTTTCGTTTTCTGTGGGCGTATCACTTGCCTTCCTCTCCTTCGGTGTTCATACAAACTGCCTAAATGGCCTGACACCATACTTAAGACTACATGAAAGGCAGGCAAAGTTACGCATAACTTTCTTGACATTACTAGTGGTCTGTCTTCTGGTTAGCAGTATCCTTGATAACTTATTCACTTCCCTGGTTCTGAATTGGGAGAAAGTTGCCGCATGCGCAACAAGAGGTTCAGGAACTACTTGGCTGTCAATTCTCGCCGCAGTTGCATTTATCTGGGTTTTCGGCATGAGCTATTACGATGCCGTTGCCCGGCTTTACTCATTTCTTCCTCTGCAAGACAACACTTTGCGCCTTCTGTGCTTTACCGAGGAGTCTAGAGAAAGTTTCAGGATTCTTTATCAGCAAAAGACGCTAAAGGAAACCGAAGAACACAGTGAAATGCTCGAGAAACTGTCTAGCGAAGACACGAACTTTTTTCATACTCTAAGACTGGCGATCCCGGTCTTGGTCGACGACATGGTAGATTCTATATTTTGGAGCCTCTTCCAAGACATGTCATATACGGTGTATCTACTCTACAGCCTAGTCTCTATGATTGCTTCGGCGGGGGAAGAAGAAGTCGAATCGTTATTAGAACCTAAGTTTGGTCAAATTTTGCCTCTAATCCTCCTCATAGTCTTTATCATCAACGTATTTGACGCCAAAGGTAGCCTACATTTCTTTTTCTCAAGTGAATCTAATAACAACAAATTGACTGACATATTTGTAGAAGAAAGAGAAGACACCAGGGTAGCATCAACAAATGAGATACAGAAGAACTCAGAGAATTCCGGGGAGAGTCATGTGGCACTGAACGTCCATAACTCCTCGACAACAGGACAATCTAACCTTGCCGGTGGGCAAGACTCCGGGCTCTCGACACCTGGCAGATCAAGGACCTCTGAGATGGAGTCAGGAGCCACCGTGAGTCTATTTCTTCTTTCCTACATCTTTCGCTTGCTTTTGATGTGGGAGTTTTGTTTGATAACGACAGAACATCTATGTTGACCTGACAATAATCCATGTTGTAGCCCAACGACTTTGACTTGCGGGCTGAATACGAGCAAGATCTCAAAGCAGCACTGAGGATGAGAAATCTCAGACTGCAGTTGGCGCAAGTAACAGCAGAAAAGGTGCCATGGTGTGCGTGGGTGGTTCTATGGACCGCGATCGCGATGCAAGCCGGCTTTGTGGCGCTCTTGGTGTTTCGTGGTGCGTGGGTGGCATTATTGATGTCCGCCTATGCCGTTATTACGTTTTTCAGTTCCGTTTTGCGGGGACTCTGGGAGATACGCAGAATCAGGGTCAGCACCAAAGCGATGTAGAGTCTAAGAGAGGGCAGACTGAATGGGCACGAGAGACGGGTGGATGAAGTATCGTGAAGTCATTACATCGCGACCGACATGGAACTTTCATCAGATGCAATGGCTTGAACAGCGACTCACTAAGAGTGAAAAACCTTCATGGATCCTAACGTCTTGATAAATGAGGTCTTGGGCTCGCATCGTGTCAGTCAATTTGTAATTTCCGATGCTTGCGTAACTCAAACTACGGTCGGGCTGTATCTGGGCACTATCATGTATGGTTTTGTGCAAAGTTGGATCCTCATTTAGTACAGAAAACAGCCTTTGAGTCAATAGTTTTAAGGTAGCGATGGTGCTTTTGTGTTCTTGAAGCAAGGCAGTGTAATGTATCCCATGAGGCGTGGAATGTTCATATTTTGTCTGTTTTGTTTGTCAATCATGTTCGTCATTCTTTTCAAGCTTTAATTGCATGTAGCAATGAATGCAGAAGTTGGCGATTTCAAATGATATTGATTTGTGTTCACTGCTCGTCCGCAGAAGCTCAAAGCACCGAGTAATTTGGCTCTAAGTTGACGTCGTGGGCAACTATTGAAGCTTTGCTAGTCTCCTGTTGTCGTAAATGATGACAGAATCGAGAAGTGTCTGCGCCCCCAAAGCACTAGATAACACCAACCTTTAGTACATGACTCCTTGCCTTTCGAATACGTTCATGACTTACCAATCCTCCGGACTGCAATACTCTTCTGGGTGATGACTGATACCGTCTTTGCAGGGTACAAATATCATCGTTGTTGGACAATGCTTGCTCGTATTCACACTGTCGTGTGTCGCGCCACTCGTCATACGAAGCCAGCCATCGTGTCCCACGATACCGTTCGCTGCTGTTTCGACAGCCCACACACAGTCCTCATCAAAAGTGGTGGCGGGGGAATCCACATCGATGCTCCAGCTCAGCTCCACGCCGTTTTCGCGGCAGATCTCCTGGAAAGAGGCGAGACATTGATCCTGGACCTCAGAGATGGTCTTATTATCTGGATGGCGAATATCCAGTGTGAACGTTGCCTGCGAAGCAACTGCATTGGTCGACGATCCCGGAGGAACTTTGATGATTCCTGTGGTCACGAAAGCCCCAGATGTCTGGGCCAGTTCATTCGAGGCCGCAATCATCTTCGCCGCAGCTAATAGCGGATCTTTCCTCGCTGAATAAGGCGTCGTACCCGAGTGAGCACTCCGGCCGGCTACGGCAAAAGTGAGCCATCTGCAGGCTTGTACGCCTCGAACAACTCCGATCTTTCTCCCTCTGGATTCCAACAAAGGACCTTGTTCGATATGTAGTTCAAAGTGCGCCCCTACCGGGTAACCTTGAGTTGCCGAACACGAAGTGTTCCCTAAGTATCCGTGTCTCTCGAGTTCTGACTTCATTGTGATGGAGGGATCTGAAACATCTCTCAGGTCCCAAGCCTTTTGTATTGGTATTTCTCCTGCCCAGACTTTGGAGGAGACTGTTGTGCCAGGAAACCTGGCGCCCTCTTCACTATGGGGCCAAGTCAGCGAATCTAAATCCATGAGGGGCTCGACGGGCGGAAGCTGGATTTGCGTACTTTGTCCAATTGATGACCCCAATATCGAATTTAGAGTGATAGCCATTCTCTTTCATCGTTCTAAGTGCTTCGATACCAGCAACGACCCCTAGTATGCCATCGTACCTACCGCCTTGGGGCTGAGTATCCAAATGGCTGCCCATCGCAGTCATGGGCAGTTTTGAGCCCAGTGATCCTCTTTGCCTAGCAAAGATGTTGCCCATCTGATCAACTTTAACATCGCAACCCAATCTCTGCGTCTCTTCTATGAACCATCGTCTCGCGGTGGCATCTTCATCTGAGAGAGTCAGCCGGGCCATGCCAGTTTCATTTGGGCCTCTGGTGAGTTGTCAGCGATTTAGGAGGCTCCCTCAGAAGGATGACTAGGCTTACCTGCCATATCGATGAGCCGCTCCCCATTGGCAAGTATGGTGAATTGTTTCTTGAAGACGATCGGCGTTGATCTTAAGACCTGACAAGCCTCGGGAAAAGGTCGACGACCGGCGCACGAAGTAGAATGCCTGAGGCGCTGATGGCCTTCTTGGGAACATCCTGTCGCGATGATTTGATATGCGACTTTGCCATATGTTCAATTCTGTAGACAAAGCATGCCGTTTTGTGGTTTGGACGACGATCATTGGGCTACCACTCGGGTAAAAGCCGTTATCTCGGAAGCAGTGCCGACAATCTGAGTGAGGGGTAGGTATCATGCCTCCCGGCAGTGGATTTCGGTGACAGCTTCACCGATTGACACGATAGCAGACATTGGGCAATAACAGAATACATGGGTAGAGTTACCGAGTTCATTCTCTCAATCCATTTTCGAAAAGTTTATTCAGTCTTGCCGACGTAATAATCTTTGATGGCACGGGAAACATGCGTGTTCCTCTTTTTTGACCATTAGTAACTTCAAGTCTAGCCAACCTGTCAAGCAGCATCGTAACAAAGGATACGTCCTTTATGCAAAAACAGTGATTGAAAGATTCTATAAAGATTGTTCTAAATTTGCGTTAGTTGCATTGGCGTAGATGTTGAGCTTGCATGCGTGCATACAGTTAATCAAGCATCAGCGGAGTATTTGCCTTGAGCCTTGCATATCGATGAGGCTTCCTTATTGGACGGTCTCTTTCGGTTCCTTCTGGCTGGAATGTCACGAAGAAGGCTACTATTTATTACATACTTCAACTTGGCTTTATACCCATCCTTGGTGGGCATTTCTAGTCCTCTCAACGCAACATCAACCTGCTTCTGGCTTTGGTTCATGCCCGAAACGGCCATTCTGGGCCTTTAACATACCAACAACAAATCAAAGCCAATTGAACTAGATGTGTCAGCAATGCCAGTTGGCCAGGTTCTCTCTCTTTGCCTGAATTGAGAGGAAAAAAAACAAAATTCTAACCATCCGCGTGATGCATCCGCCGGTAATCGAAACCGGGTCCCTTGCTATTCCGAACAGGAATGGAAGGCAAGGATGATAACCACTACACTACAGATGCGGATGTGGTGATGATCCACTCGCCATTTTTAGTACCCATGTACCGACAGCGGTACCGATGACCGCCGAAGTGCGTCTCACGAGCGGCTGTATGCTACAGACGCGATTTTGAATCATTGGAGTTTACGAGACCTTCAAATCTCGCACCGTATCGCGTCAAACTTGGACGCGTTTTGGACGCGTTAGCCCGGTTTTGGCTCTTGAGTGCGCTCTTTAACAAGGTGCCTGCACGAAGGGTTACTGAACTAGAATTATCTTCAGGCCATCTTAACACGAAGCCAATAAAAGCATAAGGTGTTCTTCTCAGTTAGTTAATCCAACAGTGGGTGATGGTGCTTGTCCATTCTGCTTACAGAGTATCCTTGGCGTTTAGGCAGACATGCTTCTTTATCGCTTACTATGGTCTGATTTCTCCCCCAAACCCATACCCTATCACAATTTGCAACGATCACCATCAGTCCGAGGGCACCCAAATCGGCGCATCTGAGCAGATCACCACCTTCAAAATGGGTCTGACGGACACGCCTCCCCCTCACGTCCCCTCGTGGGTCGTGCCAGCCTCCGGAGCCCTTCTCATCACAGGCGCCATCTTCTGGGACATGTGCTATGTACTCATGTCAATCCGCTCCCACAGAACAAAATCATACGGCATGCCCCTCTTCGCCCTTGCGCTGAACCTCTCCTGGGAACTCATCTACGCAGCTCGCGTCGCTGAACACCCTCTCGAACGTCTCGGCTTCCTTGTCTGGCTACTTCTTGACGTACCGCTCGTCTACACGACCCTCAAGAACGCGAAACACGAGTGGAGCCACGCGCCGCTTGTCGCGAAGAATATCGGCGCTATCCTTGCGATTATGGTAGCCCTTGGTTGCGCGGCGAACTACGCTGTCGCGGAATGGTGGCTGTCGGCGCCCGGTACCGGGCACGGAGACAAGAGTGGCAAGTGGTGGGCCGGACGGGAGGGATTCGATTGTACGGAGCTCGCGTTCTGGACGGCTGGTCTGGCGCAGTTCGCCCTTGGGACGGGATGTCTTGCCATGTTGCTCGTCAGGGGTCACTCTGGGGGCGCGAGTTATGCGATCTGGTGAGTGTTTTCCGTTTGTCTGGGCCTCCTTCGCTGTCTTTGCCTCATCCGATCGGTGGGCGGGTTGGCTTCTCTCGTCTCATGAGAAAACATCCATACGTGATGAGGGTCACCGACGTGTTGGGTCAGAATATCTCACTGTATGCCGTGTTTGCGTCGTCTCCCCTGCCACCGGTGTGCGATATACTCACACCCGCTTCCTCTTCTCGTTCATCCTCGAAACGTGTCATCTTGACGCGTGTTGATGCCATTCCAAAAGAGCTATCCGCAGGTCATGGGTTCGAATGCTGTGCCGCTGGAGTTGCTCTGACGTGTGGGGTCTCATTCCCGGTTCTCGTTTTCATCGTTCCTTTCATTCTGTCGTATTTGGACGGCCATGTTTGCTCAGTCAGGATAAGCACCCGCTGCATTCGGTGAGAGGGGGTTTCGGGTCATATGAGCACACATTTTATGCTGATCACTTGTTCGAAAGGCTTTGTAGGGCACTTGGCACCCTCACCGGTTGGATTGGCTCAACCGGTCTGCTCTGGTGGTACTGGCCAGAG